GTTCCGTTGACGGACTTGTTCTCCTGTTGATGATCCTGATCAACCGTGCAGGTGCATTGTCAGGATGCTTCTCCGCCTGTATCAACGCGTTGATGGCTTTGGCACCCGGGAGGCGCCCTGTGATCAGGCATCCCGTTTGAGCACAAAGAAACGCATAAAGCTGGAGCCACGCAGTGTTGCTCTTTCTGACATATGAACTGATGATCTTTTCCGCCCTTGTCTTCTCTTCGAAGCGCAGTAATGATGATGTCAGATTTCTCAACACGCATTCCCAGAACGTCGCGTCCTTTCCCTCAATGAGACATGGCCCGAAAACAGTTTGTACCATCGGATACCCGGTGTTGGCATTGATGGTGAACTTCACGCTCACGGTCGCGCCACCCATGGTGACACCCCCCTAGAATGAGGTGTACGTCTCGTACCCAGACGTGATGTCGCCGATCTCCCACCTGTCGTCGTCCCCACCAGAATTCATTCTGAAGATGGAGTCGATGATCTCGTTGTCAATCTTGGTGGGATCGTCAGCCGATGCTCGTCCACTCGTTGCTCCCTGCTGTGGGTGTGACCCGCCAGCAGTTTGCTGTCCATATTGAGGACGAGACGACGAGCTCTGCTGCCGCCGCTCTAAGTTCTGCGGTGGCTCAGCCTTTGTTGAGCCCATCACCCACCACGTTGGTTCCTCGCCATCGGTGAAGTCTTCAGGGTACTTTTCCAGCGCCCTGTCCTTTTGGACGTAGGTGAAGTACTCGTTTCGATCGAAGTCCGTCACGTCGGTCTCGATGATCTTCAACCATTCAGCCCACTTGCGTCGATCCTGGTTCTCCGTCGCTCGGTCGGCCGCATGCTGCGCAAGGCTGATGGAATTGATATTCAGCGCAGGCAGTGTTGATGCGTAGATCATGTGGATACACCACAAGAAGTCCCTTGCGTCCTCGGATCATCCAATTCAGTCTTATCTTGTCGAATGCCCTGGGGGTCGCGGGCGAAGATGATGATCTCCTCGGTGGAGAATCTCTCTGGTTCGACTCTTGACGAATAGCGACTTGCTTCCATGATTTTGCAGACGTGGACATGTCGTTGCACAGCACTGAACCACCTCTTCCGGATTCACCCTGTGAATCGGCAACCATATCCATGACTGCAGGAAGAGCCATCAATCCGTTGGATCCCTCGGAACTGTCATTCCCAAAAGTTGCAGTACTTGGGCTCGCTGAAGATTCCATTGTACTGTGTAGGTTAGTGTTCTTCTGCAGTTCTTGTGCCCGCAAGAAACCAGCTGCCTCCTTGCCCAGTGTAGAGCTTGGTTACGGCTGATAACCTGTCAAGAACGCGCGATGACGTCCCGTGGGACGCTGTCCACCAAGCTTCCAGCTCAATCACGTGGTGAAGATATACGGCTAAACCGGTACAGCCAAACCAGTGGAAAATGTAAGGGTGTTCCTCAATAACCACACAGGCTCGAGGTCTGCAGCGTGATCGCACCTGTTTCCTCTCACTCGGATCGACCACAGGTATATGCAAGTCCATGCAAGACCATAAGCCCTACTCAAGTCTTGAGCCAAATGTGGCATCCATCGAAACACTTCAACCAAAGAGAACATGGACCTCAGAACGGCTTCCCAATTTAGGCACGGGGCCAGGAGGGTTTTAAACACAGAAAGTTCTGCAAGAAATCAACATGGTTTTGGCCGGTATCTGGCCAATTTCCTGTAGCTGGTATTTCCACGAGTTCCCCCAATACAAGCCACAAGCCTGAGGCGTCAACATCATACACAGCCGAGGTCTTTACTCAAGGTTTGGCTTGCCTCTCTCCAATCCAAGCACTTCCAACTTTGGAAACATCTACTTTTAGTGGCTTCATTTGGAAGACCTCGAGTGAAGCTAAAAATGCACATTTTGTTGGCTGTCAAGACGGTGGGCCCCTTGTTGAAGGAAGGAATCCAACGGGAACTTGACGAACCGCCATTCCCTGCAAGACAGAGACTTTAGGTTGCCTCCGAAAAATCGAAACGCTTGACCGGGCTGCGTGGCCAAAGGTTGCCACAGTCAGCAAAGCCAGAGTTGGACTGATCCAAATCCTACGCACGAATTCCTGACTAGTTTAGATCCCCAATGACATTGGACAGTGAGCACGAAACGCGCTGGCTGTTGAGGCCGCAGCTGCTGCGAGGCTGTTCCTAGCAGATGCGGGGAGGTTACGATCCAGGCAGGACAAGCACAAGGCCAAAAGAAAAACAAGGAGACAAAAGACTAGACAAAGATAGAGCGAGACAAAAAGAGGCCAAAACAAAAAAAGAAAGAGAGACAGAGAGAAGGAAAAAAGAAAGAAGGGCAGAGAGAGAGAGAGAGAGAGAGAGAGAGAGAGAGATAGGGAAACATGAAAAGAACGAAAGAAAGACATGAAGAAACATGAAATGCGAAACTGCCATTCAGTAGTATTACAGTTGCTTTCTGAACTGGTGGTAAAACACTGCTAATTCAATCTTACGTTCTGAACGCGCATAGAAGACCACCTGGGAAGGAAAGCCAGAAAGCAGAAAGGACTGAAGGAAAGCAAAAGGCAAGCAACAAAACAGAGAGAGAGAGAGAGAGAGAGAAGAAAAACAAATAAACGGTAGAGAGAGCCCACCGAAAACTTGAAACAAAACCGGCGCCTGCTCAGAGCACCCAATTCGACCCATGAGGCCTCTTGTCAAGGTGACAATATGGATCAAACGGTTCTGAAGGAGCAGTGACTGGTGCGTCGCAACTATTTGACGTCATACCCAAAACCTGTTTGCGATTCCCCTCCCTTCTCTCTTTCGGCCCCCTGCACACCAGGCCTTCACCTTCCAGACCAAACGTCGCTTGGCCTCGGTCTGTGGTCTCCCGTTTTCAAATACCCTCTGACGCCACCGTCGCTTGCCTTTTCCACTATCCTAGCAACTAACATTAAACACGCCAAAGGGCCCCTTGAAACGCCCTGTTGCGCTTGCTTTCATTGTTTGGCGCCAGTGCGCTGGAACCCTCATAGTACTGCTGAAGCGCGATACATTCAGTTATCAAAAACATACTACATACTCCCGCAAACATGTCAAACCAACACGGGTTGCGCTTATCTTTTTGGACGTTTCTGCTCGGGCCCCCCGAAAACTCACGAACTTGCAGGACAGTTGCCGCCCACCCCACTGCCCCACGCAGGCTGCTGCACAAAGAATGCGCACTCGAGCGCACACATTTACTAGGGGGCAAGGACCCCAGCCACACGATTGGTCCAGGAGGCAAGTTGGTTTAATGTTACTTCATAATTTCATAGTTGTTTAGGCCCTTGAGAACCGAAAGAAAGGAAACAAAACACCATTTCTTAAAGGATGCCAGCGCATCAAGAAACCACCTACTTTGCAAGATCTCCGAAATTTGGTGAATGCGATCGTTCGATTGGCCTAAATGTCTCCTAGGACCCGGCATCCAAAAAGCGCAAGTTGGCTCTGAGGAGAAAGCTGGGATCTGGGCTGGCTGCTCAACAGCCTGAGGCGCTCAGAAACCCATTTCAGCGCAGGAAAATCGGCTTCCCAGTTTGTTTCATCAGTTTTATGGGGGAGCCCTGACAGCAGGGACAGAGAAAAAACGCTGCGCCAAGTACCATGAAAGCCAATTCCAAGCGCGCGCGAGGGCATTTTCGTTCGGCGTTGGCTTCTTCAATGGGCAAATGGCTTTGGTCATTCAGCATACTCACTTCAAGTTCAAGCTGATGAGATGCCTCATCGACTAATTGACGCCGGTTCCAGCGCAGAGTGGCTAGCTGTTGCTGCGCGTGAGAATGTAGAGCAAACAGGGCAGAACAGGACAAAGCGAGACCTGGTAGAAAACGACTGAGAAGCATGGGATTAGCCGGGGCTTGACACAAAACCGGCCTCACGGTGACAATGGATCAAACGGTTCTGAAGGAGCAGTCAAATTGCTTCACAACCATGCACGTTGACTGGTGCGTCGCAACTATTTAATGTCATACCCAAACCTGTTTGCGATTCCCTTCTGTCTCTTTCAATCCCCTGCGCACCAGGCCTTCACCTTCCAGACCCACTTGGCCGCTGTGGTCTGCTGTCTCACCTGTGATGCCCCCGTCAGCCCTTCAATGGGGCTTGGCTTTGGCGAACGTTTTGGTGGGGGGCTTGCCACTCTTGCAATCCTTCCGCTGGCAAATTGAGAGGAAAGGACTGATCATGCTCAAACAAGAGTGTACAGTATTCAAAAAGTGATCCGACACTCTAACCCTACCCTGAGACAAAAAACATCATGCTACGTAGAATCTCCTTTTTGGGGGCCTCATGTCCCACCCAGCCCAAGCACTTCCTGCAAAAAAGCAGCCATCCTCACCGGGGCGCAGCGGAAACGAGTCGAGCGATCCCACTTTGAGCCAAAAGGGCAGCGGACGAGGAATCGCCACAGCGCCAGTGTGGAAAGTCTTTCATATGTTCAGGGTTCCCTATATGCCCCGCCCAAACATCACCCCATCAGCAACAAGCTCATTTCAACATGTTTGAACCGCTCGAAAGGGAAGCACGAGGACCCCTGATGCTTGCCATGGAGACTCCACAGGTTATGGTCGCGGCTCCCTAACAACACGAAACCTTACAACAGTGGCAACGAAAATCCCTTTGGGATTAGCTTTTAACCGGGAATCAATGCACGTTGGGAGGATTCCCCCGGTTGGTACATAATTATCCGCAATCCGAAGCTTACATGATGGTCTTGAACCGAAGAGAACCCGCATCGAGGGAGATTGAGATCCCGCATTCGCCTTTCTCACGACCGGCCCCATACGTCAAAGACCCCAAGTGTGCACTCCACAATGTAGTGGGCATGAACCACAAGGCGAATTTCGGAGCTCTGAGCAATGCGGGCCAATGCGAGCCAAAAAGTCCGTTGCTGTAAAAAAATACTTGGACGTTGCCGATCGGGGTGTCAAGTCTTGTACTCAGGATTCTTGTTTGAAGCGTGCACGACAGAGGCGCCTTTTTCCCTCCTGCTAAAAATTGGGCCGTGTCTGCCGTGAAAACTGTACCTCCATCAAACATGGAAGTCAAGGGCGAGCATTGAAGCCTGAGCTGTCAGGCTCCAGATTCAAACCCCAGGGGGGAGGGGGGGGGGGACCCTGGTTTACAACCCCCAGCCTGTTTCTTGGCCCATAAACCAAAAGGTGAAACGGAGGCCAAGCTGGGCCCGGAAAACCGAATTGCTCCCCACCGTGACACTCAACTTGACCCCGACGAGTTGGCAACTCTCACCCGATCGCCGGGCAGCTCCCAGAAATATTCGCGCGCGCCGCGTATTGCAATCACCTGAAGAACTGGATGAGCCAAATGTGTCGCACAAGAGCCCGTCGGTTGCACGCCCAGATGATAGAGTAAGTGCTCATAGACCCATCAATCAGTCACGGAGGGCTTGCGAACATTCCCTCGCATTTCCGACTGAGCCAGGGACTTGGTCAATGCCACGATGCCAACCACTGCCAGAGCGCACAAGGCCATTGCCACTGCGGTGTGCTCCTTCATGTACCTCGGATTGAGGTTGACCCGCTTCAAAAGGGCAAGATTGGCTTGACCAATCGATCTGAGTGCGTCATTCCACACAAAAAGCAGGTGACACTGACTACACACCACGAGGGATCCCTCCGTGGAACTCCCGATCTTCAAGCACGGCTCGCTTGTGGTGTGCGAAAGAAACATCCCACATCGAGCACAGACTTTAGACACCACGGGCTTGCAACAACTTGTAACCTCTTACAACATTCTTCCCCATGTAAAGGCTCTATGCCACAACTGTCACACATAAGTTGCCCTCGTGTTGCGTCCATTGGAAACCAGAATTAACAACTGCCTCTAAATCAAATACTACATTGGCTGTGATGCCTGATGGGATGGTCGGGAAAGAGTCCCATGTCATGATGTCAACGAAGGGTTCCCAACAAAAATCCGTACCCACACAAAGACCCCGGAATCCACACGGCGGCCCAGGTACGCGAATGCATCCTCGGCATAAGGCGTTACCAACATGCCGATCATCAGCGCCACGCCCATAATGGTCGAGCCAATTCCTGCAAATGTCAGCGCCTCCCGGCTTCAGTGAGACTTCAGTCAGGGGTGTTGGCTCACGCTTGGCTTGGAATCGAAAGCGGAACGGCTTGCCATACAAGCGCCAAAGACTGAGGCACTAAATCTTAGCAAGGCCTGTCTGGATCGGGTCTGTCCTGTGGAGCGCGCATAGTTGATCGGCTTGAAGTAAATCTTGAAGGGCAGCCTGGGAGCAAGTTCTACTGGAAAAAGTAGAATGACATCCCAGGTCGACATTAGCTCCCCAGCGTCATTAATATCTGCCATTCGCGTGCAGCTTCGTTCATAAGCTGATCGACTCACGACGCGCAGTTCACACTTTGGGTGCGTCTGTTTGAAGCTGCCGTTTTTGGGGCTGCGATTGCCTTTTTTTTCTGGGGAACATCTGCAGGCGAGCGACACCTTGTCCGGCGGCTGCAGGGTGTATCCACGCCACTCGTTGCAGGGCGAAGAAAGGATGCCTTGGCGCAACAGTGACGCCCCTCCCTGACCTGCGGGAAAATAGGATGTTGTTCCTCTCAGTATACCCTGCTTTCCTCGTTGTGATAGTAGTTTGCGGGGATCTCAAAGACGCAGCGCTGTGACTCCACCATTTGGCTAGTTCCCCAAGAGGTCAGCTTCGTTGACAATGTTGGTGCGCACATATCTCACACTCTTTGACACGAGCTGTCTAAGGAGCACGGATCCAAAACACCAAGTGCAACCACTTAGCTGTGTAAAAACCAGAAACCCTCTGAGAATGATGTCGAACAAGAACCAGCCTAAAACCAAGGATTCGGAGTCCCTAGCCTCTCATGTTCTTGATGGTCGCTCCCATCGGCTGTGTCGACTCCAAAGATCCTTACAGAGCGATGGACCATGAAACGGTTCCAAGAGTCTTTGTTCGAGCTCCAGATGCCGGCTCTTGTTCCGTGCGCTCGAATACGAAGGGCAAACAGAAAACCTCTGCAAAGTCACCTGCGCTGCTTCTGGTTGGTACACTGGTAATATTTGCTTTGATTCAACAACGACAAACTGCGGCAAGGTTGCAAGAAGCCCAAATGGTGAGGCCGAAGACCATTGCCTGCAATACAGCAAAGAGTGGTTCACTTGACTTGAAAGCCAGGTTTGCTGCGATCCCAGAAGTGAAGGATGCCCACTGAAACATCCCCAGTCTCTCAAAACAGATGTCGGACCACCTTTTGTCCGAAGGAAAAAAGAAAAGAAAAAGAAAACAGGGCCAAAAGAATACCAAGCACTTTAGGGGACTTTTTTGAGCCGTTGATCTGGAGCCATTGATCTTTGGGCAGCCAAGCTCGCGGCTTTTCCAGAAATGCGCGAGCGTGTACGCCCCGTCCTTAAGCTTCAACGCAGCGTCTAGCGGCAGCTCTTGTGATGAGGATCGAAGGCAGGGTTGCCCCGCTTACTGCCAGGGATGCTCCACCTGGGATCCCAAAATCGGGAAAAACCCAGCTCGCGCCTTGTGGGTGAAGGTGGTGGGCGCGAAGAGATCCAGCAGCAAGGGGCCAGACAGCCCACGCGCCCAGCCGTACAAAATGTCTCGGCACACCGTGGGAACCTCGGCCCAGCGAGGCTCTCAGGCGGCTCCGGGGACTCGAGAAAGCGCCCGACGCCTGGAAGATGCCAGCTAGGATGAGGTGAAGATGCCGTGGCTGTCCAAAGTTTGCTCACAGAATGAAAGGAAAACGCGGTGTTTTGTCGAAACACACGCATCGAATCCGAGTCGTAACCAAAACCCGGTACTCGCTCGGCTGCTCTGGCCATGTTTGCTTACCTCCACTCACGCTTCCCTCCACTCAGGCATCGATTTCGGGTCATTGGTACCTACGCCATGCGGTGACTGGGGCCTCGCGCGTAGGCCTGGTACAGGAGCGCCGGCTTGATCTCCCAGCCCATGCTCTTGCGGAAGCGGTAGTTGGTGACCTCAAGTGGAAGGAACAAGGGCAAATGGGTTCATTCAGCGGAACAAGGACGCCGGACAACCCAAAAGCATTACGGGGTTTGCTCGCAGCATCCTTTTGCTCTCGCGAGGCCACGTGTGTTCTCCCTCTGCAAGGCGCAGGGCTGCTGAAGAATAAGGATCAATTGAAGCAAGGAGGCTTTCGAATCTGCCTCAGATTTCTGTCCTAAAGTTGGAAATACTAGCGGATAGATTTGCTTAGGGCAAAACTAAGGAAAACGTGACAATCATTTGTCTTGTCCTCTTTTCTGTTTTTCGTGCTGTCTTCTTTTGGGCACACCCCAAAAAGATACACTTTCAGGCGTCCACCAGTTTCACAAAAAAAAGCAGTGACCCCGGTACCACAGGCACAACCGTGCAGACCGTTGATCCTTACCTGCAACTAAAAAACGCAAAAGAGCGCCAGCTTTAAAAAAAGACTGAACCTGTTGTCCATGTTCAATCAGGGCTGTGGGAAATGACCACTTCTGTGATACAACAAAAATTACTTCCCAAAGACTAACACCCCATACAAAGGGGAGATTCCCTTGTATCACAGAAGTGGTTGGAAAAACCCCTTGTGATCCCACAACCCTGTGTTCAATCGAAACAACAAACACATCTTGGGAAACGCCCAAACCGTGGCTCCGAGGCCAAGGCGGGCAGCATGACGGTGCAGAAGAGCCAGCCGCTGATGAGGCCGCCTTGCATCCGTCGGGCAGAGAACCAAAGCCTCCCACAAAACCACCAGCAGCGCGGCCCCTTTCGGGTCGCCCTCTCTCCAATATTCCTTTCGCAGGGGAGATGTTTTTTCAGGCAGCTGTTCTCGCATAAGGCCTACCCTCACATCCCGAAGCACATAACTATATCTCTATGTTCCTATGTATACATACCCTTCTGGAGGGGAGATACCAACCCTTTTGGGGGGTGCCTTCCTCAGTTTGACACTTGACAACCCCCCTTGCTGAAGCGAGAAGCCCGCGAGCCCCAGGCGGCGAAATGCATCAAAGCCCTCTGGCATGGGCACAGTGACTAGATGCGGTCTCCCGTTCATGGATCTAAAAGTGTGCACATACATGTTTTTCTAGATACGAATCTGTATATATGTAATACATAGATCTGTATGTGTAATACATACTTCATGGATATTCATGACATATTTCTACATATACACGCAGCCAATTAGCTGAATCCGCGGATTGACTGCCGGCTGCTTGCAGACTGGACGCTGACACCGGGGGACAAAGAGGTGAAGGTCATCGCGCGGTTGATCACCTCGAAGACCGGGAACTTCAGCCTCGGCCGCGTGGATTTCGAGCAAAGAGTCGCAGTGAATGTATTGGTTGTGGGTCAAAATCCAAATCGCACCCCCAGTGAACATCCCAAACAAAAATAGACTGAAATGGGTGGTGCACCTACCCCAAAATGGCACCATTGGTTTTGACCCACAGCCACATTGGTAGTGGCAATAACCCTACTAAACAAGTTGCGTAAGTCTTGATTATGCCTCCTTTTAAGCTGAGCACAAGTTATGCAGATGCAGCGTGGGTGTATGGCAGCACTTGCTCAATGGTACCCCACAAGATGACACCTACCCGCGGGAATCTGTCAACTAGCCCAAGCGACCCCCCCTTCCCGCCTCTTGGCCAAAACACCCATGATCAGCCTGTGAAAAGAAAAAAAAACTTGTCTGTCCAGCAGCATGTTGGTGGGGAAGGTGGTGAGGAAGAAGTTGGACACCAGCTTGAATGTGACCTCCTGGTAGGCCTGCTCATTTTACCGCAAGCCCAGCTCAACCACTAGGAGCCACGAGTCTTTCCTTTTCTGCTGGGATGCTACGGAACGGTTCGTCCTGGGGATCCTTGCGCAAACGCCAGGCAAGGTGGAGACGTGTGTTTGCAGGGACGCAGTTGCTCAAGAGGGTCGCCTCAACTCCGGTCGCCCTGCGAGGATCAACCAGCAGAACACAAGCAAACATCCCCGCCGGCCTGGCTCACTGTCATGCGCTTCACCAGCAATCGGTTCACCTGCAAAGATCATGCCTTGCTTCCAGAAACGAAATTGAACCACCCCTTCTTGCAGCCCTCAATGGGCAATCGATCACCCATCCCTTTCGCTATAGGACACGTGTCCTCTGCAAGCATCACCCTGACCCAAACCACCCAAAAAGGGGAAATACAAGGACCCCCCGATGCCAGCTGGTGCTCTTCCTCTGCTGAATCTCCTGTGTGAGAACAGGAGTGCTCGGCTAGAGTACAGTACAAGAAAGGTCCCGCCGAGGCATCAGCAACCAACACCCCCCACACCAATCTGCAAGTAAAGCTCTGTAAACTTACCCTGGACTTGGAGATCGGCATAGCATCCTTAAAGTCCCTGGTCTGTAAGGTAAACTGGTCTGCTATGGGGCCAACAGTCTCTGGATGCTATGCTCTTGGTATCAAGGGGTCGACCTTTGTCTTCTTTTGTTAGCCACGATGCCAGCGGCTCGCACATGGCGGAGAGGATGGCGGCGACCAAGGCGGCCTCAGCCGAAAAGAAGAATTCCAAACCGGAGTGCCAACCGCCCAAGAAACATGTCTGGTTCCCCCGCTAAAAGTTTAACTTTTAGTGGGTTAATGGAAATCCCCACTAAACACTAAAAGGCTAAAAAGCTAAGGGGATCCCTGGGAGCCACCAAGATGTGTAATATCGGCCCCATATTATTCATCAACCCGGTTCATTGATAAGGGGGTGTCCCTGAGTTTAGTGGGGAATCCTCGAGGGGAACACCCCCCCATATTCATTAAACTGGGGTTGATTGATATGGGGTCAACAGTACTTGCCCACCCTTCGGCTGCAAAAGCATCGAACCAAGCCAACCTCAGCAGCACGGGTCCCGAAGCGCAGCCACTTCCAGTGTTTTGCAACGGCTGTTCGATTGTTTGATTTCTTGCAAGACCATCCTCGCGGTTCGTATGTACCAAAAGGCGCGCCGATCCACGGAACGTCTCTTGCCGAACCGCTGGCCGAACCCCCTGCCGCGCCGAACATGCCCAAATGCCCAGGAAGGGCGAGGAGGAATACTCCAAATCAGAAACGAGCCATGCGAACCATCTACCATGAGAATCAAAACATGGCCGGTTCCTTCTTGGATGGTGTCGCAAGTGCCTTTAGAAAAGGCTGACAAGCGGTTCCTTGGAATGCAGAAGGAATAGGAGACATTGGAGGGACCTCCAGTCAGGTTCTATGAGAGACATACTCAAACCCTGGCATTAAAACCCAGGAGCATGTAAAGACTTCAAAAGGCGGGTGTACGCACCCATTTATGCCAAGGGGATTGTCCCTTACCCCCTCATGTGGTTCCTGCTTTTGTGGGCCCCGGTCAACCCTACCTGCTTGCCAAAATGAGCCAAAGGGCGGTACAGCCCTGTGCAGCTGCCGCGAAGACCTGCCACGGTGCGTCTTTTGGTGAGGGCCGCCTCTTTGAGGGCACTTCACCCGGACAACCTCCCACCACTCAGGTGAGATGCTCGGTTTTGGTGATTCTCAAGGGAGAAAAGCTTCGAAACTGACCCATGTCATGTGGATCGTCTCTTCTAACTTCTGACGGCCTCACCGGGAAACCGAGAGCAAACCCAGCTTCGTTTCCCTCAGCCAACCAACAAACAATGGGAGAAAACAACGACAAAAACGTCAAACGTGGGTCTTCGATCCCAAAAGCCGGTTAGTCGCTACTTGGGGAAGTAAACCCCAACAGGCCATGGAATCCGGATCTAAGCTGTAAACATGCACGCCACGTGGAAGACTCGGTTCTTATTTCTCCCAAACAGTGGCCAATACATGACAAGACCTTAGAGGAGTCCTTTGGGACAAAGATGAGAGCCAGACTCGGAGGCCGGAGGAACCCATCATGTTCCATCAGATCAAAAAGAAAACAAAAATTGGATTGGTAGACCCTCAACAATGGGAGTGGTTTTCCTTCCGGCTTCCCCTTTTTTGCCAACCCCGACAAGGGCACCGAGTCTCAGAGGACGAGCCTTGGTCATGAAGCCCTCGGGGTCCGGCTGCTCATCCGCCACCACCAGCGCCAAATGCCGCGGCACGTCGGCGGGAGTACGCCACAGATCCCTGGGCGACACATGGGAGCGTGGTCTGTTTGCAGTTCGCGCCCTTTTTGGGCTTGGCTTTTAAGGGAATCTCAACGGGAAAAAAAAAAAAAAACATGTTGTGGCCCACATCCCATGTTTTGACATGCCCAAACCATAGGCAAAACCTGAAACCTGGTGAAGGAGATTCATCCGAACTGAACCAAATCAAAAGCTCCAGTTCCGCAAAGAGAGCAAGCGCCAATGCGAGTCGGAAGCGTTTGGTTTCCCCTCAAACCAGACAATTGGTCCTAGGGCCTTAGGGGAACAACTTGAAGCTCTGGAGCTAAGGCTGCGGCAGCACACAAAAAACCACCGTGAGGACAAACAGGGCGCCAAGGCCGCTCATGCTGGAGCGGCGAGCCTTGGCTGGCTGATCCGTCGCTTCGTCGCTTCGTTGGTTTGGTGAGGTTTCTTGTGCAGCCCGCCATCTTGCGGATTCCTGGAAAAGAGAATCTTACTGGCTTGCAACTGCGCTTTTTAGGAGCAACCTGGCAAATGGCGGGGCTCCCCCTATTTAGCACTCAGCACACACACACACACGCTTCCAACTCCACTGTATTGACTTGAGGTTCACGTGGAAAATATGAGGTTGCCTCGCAGCAAGAGAATCCCTCTGAAAAAGGCTGTATTGTTGCCAATACAAAGCCGTGGTTCATGTTTGATCTGCCAAGCAGCCATGCTGAGGAAGATCAGGCCAAGTGTAGTTGCTGGTTGAGCCCCAAAACTCTGCAGCAGGGCAGCAGCATCGCGACATCGCAGCTGTTTAGGCGCCCAAAGTACGGCCAGGTGAGTCACAATCAAGACCTGGTTGAAACATGTAAGAAAAATCAAAAGGGCAGCAGCACCCATTTATGGTTAGGACTGTCCCCCCACTAATCTTCTAGGTTCCATCCAGACTGCAACCAACTTCTAGAAAACGGTTTAGGTGCGACTTGTGGATCCACCCCTGTAGGATGTTAAAAGAGTACCAAAAAACAAACCTGCGGGCCGTTTTCTCTAGACAAATGGTGTGAGCGGAGCTTTCTTCAGCCATGAGGCTTGTCTGCAGCTTCTCTGTGAAAACTATAACACACTTTATCTCTAGCGACACAGGGAGTGGCACGGGCTGAAATACCCTGCTGCTCATCGTTCCCAACGCTTCCTCAGACGCAGGCAGCACTGCCCAAGCAACCACCATCACAGGTAGCACAGGCGCTATGTGAGGGAGAAAGTGCTGGTCATTTGAGCAATGGTCAAAATGACTTGTTGCCCCAACAAGACATGGGAAATTAATGAGGCCCCCAGCTTTTGCGGGCAATTTAGGGGCTCAGTCATGTTCGAACGAAATCCGCCTTCCAAAGAAAAGAAGATCACCTCGGGAGAAAATGAGGGAAAAAGCAAGGCCAAAGCTGGAAATCCACCCTTCCCGTTTTTAAACCTGGTCCCCCAAAAGATTCCTCTAGAGACCTAGAGCTGTTTAGGCGTGTCTGACGCAATCAGACCCCCCCCCCCCCCGTTTGGGGTGAATCAGGCAGCTCGGCTTTTCGCCGGGGCTCTGGAGAAGTTCGCTGCGGGGCCCAGCACCCTAGGCCCGCCAGCCAAAACCTCGGAGGTTCGGTGCAAAGTTCCGAGGCGACTCGCTTCACTTGGACGGTCCAAGCTTCAGGGGCTGGTACTCAGTGAAGTGCCGGTCTTTGACGCCCTGTAAACCCTTGCAGCTTTGGGGCTTTGGAGCCAGTTCTGGAAACCTGGAAGCCAAACAAGGCACCTCTAGGTCGCCGAACCAAGCCACAAATTAGGGGTAAGCTGAAATAGAAAGGAGAGATGGCAAGAGAACTCTGCGACATCATGCTATTTTGTTATGCTGTTGTGTCATTTAGTCGAAGTATGTGGTTCACGTTTATGTTGATCGTTGAACATATGATACATTCATCAAGTTGGGTCTGGCTTTACATGTCTCTACATAAATACCAAAAACGACTCTTAAGAGCGTAAAGCCACATTCCGCATTCCCTTTTCGGGGTTTGCCAAGTGAAGGCCGGACTGCCCCTCAGCCGCTTTTTCAGGGTGAGAGGGAGCCGAAATCTACCGAAAACAGGCATGCACATGCGTCTTTAAAGTGTTTATTTGTCCTTTCTCTTCCCTCCCCATCTTGCAATGACTACTTGATGACAATTACTGTAGTTCAAAGGGAGGGAAAAAGAAAGTAAGCCATTCCTTCGCTCGTTTCTTTCCAAGCAATTTAGTGGGGGTTCAAGCTGGAAGGTGAATGAAGGAAAGAAAGGCAGTGATTCTATTTGTCCAGGATTGTATGTGTGTGTCTGGTTGTTTTTTGCAGTTGTTGATGACTTGGTATCTCGAACTATACATTTTCTACCTGACTACCTTTCTATATATCTCTGTTTGTTTGTACATGTTTGTCGTCCTTGCCTGCTTGTAACAAGACAATCAAAAAGCGTTGAACTATTCTAACGAGAGAACCATCTCATGTCATCTTACCCAAGTCCCTGCTCCAGAAACTTCTGATTTGGCGGCAGCGCGAAAGGAAGGATTCTTGAGCCCGCCTGCCATTAAAATGCCGTTGGCCGCAGATTTACTGCTAGGCCTCTCTGGGTTTGATGGCCCTCCCTTGACATCATTTCCAGAACTCATATGAGCTCAGGCATGTTCGGGGATGCTCAAAAACAAGAAGACTTTAAGGACGCTAAGGTTAACAAACAAAGACGAAAAGTGTGTCCCATGTTGCTGGGCTCTGGGCTTCCCAAACTGAATCTTCGGTTGAAGGGTCAAGTCGCCTGCGCCGCGACAGGGTCCCTGTACTTCCAACCTACAAACAGTACACCAAAAGGAACTCACTTTAACCCAAAAAAGCGGGTCAACCGTCCAAACACGGAAGATGCCCCCCGCGCCATGCCCCCTGCGCCGTGCCCCGCGCAGCTTTTGGGCTCTGGCCTTTTCGGATTGCGGCACTCTGATCACCTGGCAGGGCCCATTCCCACGGCATGGCTGCGCTCTGGGGACAGCTCGGAGGATCTCATTCTACAACTGTTTGCCGGGCATGGCTTCCCATGGCGACTCCACGCAAACACGTGCAGTTGGTTCTACTGGGCCAAGTCGAACTGCAAAGGAAGCCCTCAAATCCAAGAATCCCAACAGCCCAATCTCCATCCAATCATGCAGGACTTCACAAAATAAGTTCAGCCCCCTTCGTTCTTGGGCCTACACCTAGCCAGCCCCTTGCCCTTCATGCAGTTCTTGGAGCCTCCCGGCACGCCGGCCGTAATGCGTCCAGTCCCAGCCCGGCTGAACTCCAGCCCCGACCCCGCAGCTCTTAGAGCAACGGTAGCACCTGGCCCCAGCCCCTTGCCCTTGGGCTGTGGCTGTCCTTCAGCGCAGATACTTTCACGCAGCTGATACTTTGACGCATGGCCAGGTATGAACGTTGGTTCTTGCCAGCTGCCCAGCTTAGCCTGGCCCGATGTCAAATAGCCCCTGGCCGAGGCGGGCAGCACGAAGCGTAGACAAAAAAACACTCCAGCACACCTGCGTGTGCTGAACCAAGCCACCAGTGCCATCTATGGGGTCTCAAACAAAAAGAAACTGACCAGCTCTTTATAACCAAAACACCAAACTGACCCAAAGCGCACACCCTTCGGTGTGAAAAAAGTGGCCTCATGACCGCCAAAATGCCGGCAACCAGCACCACTCCGATCGCCACGCCCAGGGCAACGTGCTCCTTCATGTACCTCGCGGGGTTGAAAAACCCGAGGCCGTTGATTTTGATCAAGGGGGGACCGAAGGGCAATTTCCTGGTGGCATCCTCAACAGAGCAAAGCCATGTGCCAAGAAAGGCACAAAAGGCATTTGAGGCAGTTGTGACCCTTTGAAACGAAATAATCTTCCAGCGACCTCTAATCAGGTTCCACGTAAGCGGATGGGACGGTAGTTGGTAGTTGCACGCTGTTCACCATGTTTGGCGCCAAGCAATGCATCTCAGCTCCGTCCAAGTCACCCGAACGCTTCTTCAGCGTAGGGCGTGACCATCATGCCGAACATCAGCGCCACCCCCATGATACTGGAGCCAATGCCTCCCGCACAAGTCGGGATGCATGCCATCAATGATTAGTCAGCCTGCGCAATCGACCTGAAGAGTTGTGTTGCTACAATCCAGAAGCCTGCAAACTGTAGTAAGGGACAACTCAACATCACCCCTTGCAACTTGTCCCTTCCAACAAAATACCAGCAGCTTGACCCTACTTCATTCCGCTAGAGCCTCAAATGCCATGCGCCAGTCCAAAACATGCTAGACGTTGCATACAATCCACTAACCCCTATAAAACCCCGTGGTTGTGTTCGACCAATCTTCATGCCTTTTTCATGTGGGCCCATGCAATCCGCCTCTGTCAGCGACAGAGTGCCAATATAGCCATTGGGGTTGTTGACCGACTCGACGAATGGCTGCCCTGGACCCTTTTGGGGCTTGCTGCAAGGACAAAGGTAAAATATAATTTGGCTGTGGGTCAAAAATAGGTACCCAAAATGGAACCCTGGTAAATGGAAACATGGACTAAAACCTGCGGTCCCTGGTGGTTTAATTTTGACCATACCCGTTTTGCAGTCTCGTACTTAGAGACAATCCCCGGATGCAGACACGCCTGTGGAGCGGGCGTAGTTGATCGGCTTGAAGTAAATGTTGAAAGGCAGCCTGAGCTTCTGGTTTTCTTGAGCGCGTGGTTGGAGTCTGCTCAAACTCTCCCCTGCCTTGTAACATGGAACCCAAAACCGGGGCTCTCTTAAAAGAAAAAAATACCAGCATAGACCCCAAATAGCGCAAAACAGGCGGATGCTTGCACGCCAGCACCTCTAACAGCACCCCCCCCAGAGCACACAGCCGTCAACCTCTTGAACACGCACCCGTACTCCCAACAGCACCCCAAACACCGTCCCAAAACAGCACCTGCACCAGCACCCCGAACTGCACGCCAGCAAGCGTCCTGCCAGGAATCTTGCAAAAAAGGACAGCACCCCAAACAGCACCTGCCCAACTGCATGCCCGCTAGCACCCTGCCATCAATCTAGAAAAAACGACAGCACCCAAACTGCATGCCTCTTAGCACCCGGTCGTCAATCTCCCAAAATTGCGCCCACCCTCAACAACAGCTACACCCTGAACTGCAGCATGCCCCCTAGCACCCGGTCGTGAAAATCTCGCAAATCATGTTCCCCTCTTTATTAGAAGTTAGAACCCCTATAGCTTTGAGCTATCTGGGGAAACAACTGTTCCTCTAAAGACAATTGTTTTGGCGCTCCATGTTAATTTGCAGGGGAGTAAGGAGCCATGTTTGCGCTTCATTTGGAAAGCTTTCTACAGCCGGCTGTCTTGAGGCCAAGTAGCTTCTTGTCCTTGGGCTGCAGAGTGAATCCGCGCCATTCGTTGCACGGGGAGGAGATGATGCCTCGGAAGACCCGGCTGTCAAGGCGAACGCTGTGGCACAACAGAAGAATGATACTAACCATTGGTAAGGATTCTCCACCAATCTATAGACACATACGCACACGACCCCGGTCGCGAAATTGAAGCGCAGGATGCAAGAAGCCCAGATGGTGAGGCCGAAGACCATGGCCTGGTGCATGTTGGCATGTGACGGAAAGTGGGGGATGTGTTGTTGCACCTACAGCGAGGTAACCCCCCAAGCCCCCCACCAGCCTTGTGGTTGAACTCAGTGGGGGCAATACTGTCCTGCAGCCAGTTGCCCACCAAACCACGGGCCCAGCCATAGATGATGTCCCGGGCCACTGTGGGGATCTCAGCGGATTTCGGTTTGAGTCTCCCAATCAAAAGCGGAGACTCGATCGGGATGCTGAGATCCAGGCATAGGCCTGGTACAGGAGAGATGCCTTGATCTCCCAGCCCATGCTCTTGCGGAAGCGGTAGTTGGTGACCTCAGCTGAATCCTCCGATCTTCACCAGGCCCAATGAACAAGCACCCACAATCCCCAGCACTCCTCACAGGAAACACCTGGAAACCAACGCCGGAAACACCCGGAACCATCTCGCAAATGCCGCCGGAACCTCTTCGCATCCAAGGCAGCGGCAGGCAGCATGACGGTGCAGAACAGCCAGCCGCTGATGGTTCCGCCTGAGCTCGGTGAAGATCCAAAAAATGCGCCATGTCTCCATTCAATCATCACGGACGAAACAAACTCAATGGAGGTTGGCAACCGAGAAAGGAATCCACTCTGCTTATCCGCCCTTGTTTTTGCTTTCAGGGGGAAGCAGCTCAAGCGTCTACCCCAGATTGTCTTCAAAGAGAAAGGGTCCTACTGGTGGACCAAAAGGGTGGCCTTGGTTTCGCTTCCCTTGCACAGGAGCTGACCAAAGAGGTCCGTAGTGGAAAGAAAAACAAAAACAAGGGGAATCACCACCATCTGGGTCAAGGGTAGGTCAATCCAGGTGGTTTTCGTGTCCTTCCCTCTTGACCCACCCATACCAACAGCCGGGAGCCCCAAAAAAGACCCCGCTTTGCCAGCCAGCGGCTCACGCTGGGCGGCAGGTTGGTGTACATCATCGCGCGGTTGATCACCTCGAAGACTGGGAACTTCAGCCTCGAGGACTGGGAACGCCCGAAAGGTGAGGTCGAAACTACCCATGGAAATGGAAAGATTCTTGTGGGCAACTATAGGTTCGGAAGCTGGACATAGAAAGACCCATGTCAGTTCCTTTCTTTGCGGTATCGCATGCGGAGAGGGCTTTGGTTTGGAAAAAGGGACACCCGGTAAGGGGGCGTGCTTTTTCGAAGGAGACCGCTTCCAGGACCCATCAACGCAAACTGGCTGTTTATTGCAACTGACCCTTGGAGCATTCCAAAAGGAAGCCAAGACATCAATGTCCGCCCGGGAGAATTCTTTGGCCGGGAGCATGTTGGTGGGGAAAGTCGTAAGGAAGAAGTTGGCCACGAGGTTGAAGTTCATCTCCTGGTAGGCCTGAGATTCGGAGCCCCAAAAGAAGTGATAGCCTGGATGATAGGTCCGTCATTCACGGGCCTAAATATGTCACTTAGTGTGCGGCACTTCTACCTTGTAGAACCACTCATGAGTGGCGTTCATGTCCAGGGCAGTTGCTTCAATTGGAGATACAGCCATCCAGCCAACCCACATAGGGAACCTTGGACGCACAACCAGGGTGCGGTTCCACTAGGATCCAACAGGACAGCTGACCATACCCGCACGGCATGCGCCCTGCATGCAGGCAGTGTTACCAAGTGGAAGTGGTCACCAACATCTGTTTCAAGGCAGAGGGACGAGAGACGCCATCCAGAGGCCATCCCACAGAGAGAATGTGCGGTGAAAACTGCTTCTCCGTTGGTCATGCTAAACGGCTTTTTGGATCAGGCCCAGGCTCCACTTGCTTCCTTCTGACCGGGATCAGAGTTCCTTCCGAAACATTGGCCACTGGCGGTTGGCACTTGCTTTCCATTCAAGACCACCCAAACAAGATACCCTCCAAAAACGACACGCCCATGACGATCCTCAGCTTCGCCCCCCGGCCTGGCTCACCGTCATTCGCTTCACCAGCAGCCGATTCACCTGGCGCCGTGTCTTCGGAATCAGGGACTGCCATGGCGCATTCGCCTTCAGTAGGTCGGTGGGAAATTTATTGAGGGCAACCTCGTGGGTTGTGTCCAAGGAAAACCAACAGGAAATACATCGCCCGTTTCGCAAGACGAACACTGGCATAAATTCGCAAGGAGTCATTCGCAGCCTGAAAATCGCAGATTATTGCTTTAAAACAGACAAGAGCTGTTCGTTTAGCGAGAATGCAAACCTGTTCTAAGCCACCCTTCAGGCCAAAGAAAGATGAAAGAATGAGACTGGTAAGAGAGCCATTGTGCTTCCACGGCTATCCTGCCCACTACTTCATCTGCGGAAAAAGGAGCGTGGAAAACAAACCCCAATTCCCATTGCCTTTCTGATTCCCTGGAGTAGTGCAAAGTCGACATCAAGGTCATTCGGGATACTCGGCGTTTCTCAACCTTGAGCCCGTGCAATGCTTGTGCTTGCGGTCCTTCCTGCTCGCATTCCTTAGAACTTAAACCCCACCATGGCACTCCAGCTGATGCCGAAATAAGGGAAACCTACCAAGGCGTCTCGAAAAGGGTACTCTCAGACAGCCCCACCCGTTTCAGACAGCATAGTCCGTCACGGGCCGAGGGGCCAATGGCTCAGCGCACGCAGAGAGGATGGCAGCAACCAAGGCGGCCTCGGGCCGGCGCCTTTCGGTTTTAAAGCCGCTCGGGCTGTCGACCTGGCAACTCAAAAAAGGACTCCTGCAAATAGCTTGGGCTTTGTTTTGAAGGAAAACTCCCATTTGGTGTCGCTGTAAGCCCGAACAGAGTACCCGCAACATGGTCGAATATGGCAACCAAAAAAAAAAAAACGACATGCCTATTCAGGGGGCCCCAGTGCACGCGCTCGAGTATCCGAAAGCAGGCAAGCATGAACCGCCTCTGGGTTTGGCATCGTTGAAAGGCTAATCGAAGAAAGAAACGTACACTGTACAGCGAAACGCAAATCAGGGGGTTCCCCATTTAGTCCTGGACAAAGTTCTACCCTCCATGGACGTGGGAAATTACAGTCCTGTGGTTGGGTTTTGTGTTGTGTGGGAAATTTGGAGAGCGTCGGCCCACGCCCCTTCCCAAACGGACCAGCTCGTAAGTTGGACAGAACCTCATACGAGAAAGTAAAACCCTGCAAAACACACAGGGGTATTTGCTTCTCCTTTGGCTTTCCCTTCAAACAGCTCCAAAACCAGTACCCCCCCCAACAAAAAAAAAACAACTGAACACCAACCCACGTCTTTGGGAGGCTCCAACTCCAGAGCTCTCAGCTTCGGAAGCGAGGTGCCGTGCAACCCTGCGCCGCCGCAGCAAAGACCTGACGTGAAACTGGCCGGTTGCGAAGGGGATCGCTTGAAACCTTCGGACGCCTCTCCGCTCTTTTTGGGGGGGGAACGGGCTAGCGGGTGTCGCTGACAAGGCTGGGAGGCAAACCGCGGGTCCCGAGCCTCTTTGGGTCACCAAAGCTGCATGGCCTTGCAAGCACGAATGACCAGCCCCAGTCACCGGGCGATTTGAGTGACCAGGGCATCTGGATGAACTGCATTCTACGTTCACCAATTCTTCGGCCTGAACCGTAGGTACACTCATTCTCACACATGCCCCTGTTTGCACCCCGAACTAGCTTCCCCGTACCCTGCAAACACAAGGCTTGGGGTTCCGCTGTCTGATAGGGACAAAAAATCACAGACGCCAGACCCGCGCACTCGTGCGCCCGCGAACGCCCATCCACCTTGGTGAAGAAGCTGTCGGTGTCCGGCTCGGCCTCGCCCGCCACGACCAAGGCCACATCCCGCGGGATAGCCGTGGGGCTGCAGATCTCCCTGCCCCAAGAGCGAGACATGGGCACAGTGGCACACGCCGGGATCGTGGAAAAACAAAACATAGAAAAGCTGGGGCAGGCCATGACTCCATGAACTTCATGTCAGGGTGAATCAAAACGAAGGGCGGGCAACGAAGTTTAAGGAAACCTCGACACTTGTCTCAAAAACCTCCTCTTGTCTCTTGGAACCCATCCGCCGGCCGAGCCGCACGACCCACCACGCCGCCGCGAAAATCAGCACTGAGCTGATCGGGTTGCGCCGGGAAGCCTCACGGATCCAACCCCAACCCAAAGACTCCCCGGACGCGGCTTCAAGGCTTTGTCTGCCTTTGGGATTTTGCATTTGTCCAAGTCTTTGACGCTTTGCCAGGTTCTTGACCTAGCCCGCACGCAAATCCACTCTGGCAGCAAGACTTTGTTCCAGAAGCACCACATCTGCAACTTCAGGAATTTCAAACCCTGAAACAAGTTCAGGACCTTCATGGCTTTTGCCCGTGTTGCCCTCCAGTCGGTCATCGCCCCCCCAAACGGCCTCCACCCGAGGCGCCATCTCCCCCGTGCGGTTCGTGCCGATCTGCTCCGATTTTGAGGAGCCAACAGCTGCGAAGCCCGCGAGCTCGCCAAGGTGCTCCGTGCCCTTCTTTTGGGCCAGCTTAACGTCCCTCCGGCCCGTGCCTTGTTGTTGCTATCCAAAATGAGGTCAACACTTGGGGGCTACTTGCGAGCCCTGAAAAGTGCTGGAGTCCTTTTTCTTGTTGGTACCCCCCCCCCCCCCAAAAAAAAAAGAGAGATCCACGTTGCTTCACCTGATTTGCGTGACATCAGCACATCAATCGGGGGTACCGCACATGTTCTGCTTCAGCAAGCGAAAAGGGAGCAACCTCAAAGCACTTGAAACCTCCGGGGTATGGGATCGCCATGCTCGAATCATGCTGTAAGTCAAGAACTTCCAATGGCTAAGTCTCCAGCTTCCGAGCTGCATGAGAGGGGCCCCTCTCCCAGCCCAAAACGAATGCCAGGTGTGACAGCAAAGGGAGGTTGTGCAAATCCCGGCTCTGTGCCAACCTGCAACCAGTCGTGACCCTTGGCCAGAACCCCTCCCCCCCATGGCAGCAGCATTTCACCGGCACAACCTGTGCACGCTGCGGCGGGGCAACTTCTATGTGCATATCGGACCTTGGCAGTTGTAACCACATCACTTGTGTCGACCTATCTGCCTTTGCGGGAACTGCCAGGGTCTGGTTGAGTCGATACATGACATGCTGGCTGTGGTTGCGACATGTGCGCAAAAGCTTGCCTAACAACATTGGTGACACGCAAAACCCCCAGGTCAAGCTGCTACCAATCCAGGCTTGCGATAGATGAAGACCGACCTCAGCTTGCGCACTGGTGTGCACAGTGCGTGCATGCATTTGTCAACTCAGTGCAATCAATGCATGATAGTCCTTGTTCCTGAATATCACGAGTTCAGTTCTTCTTGCCAAGCGGCATTGGTGCCTACAAACGAAACTGGGGCATGTTGATTGCCGCCTATGATCCGTAGATTGCTTGATGTGCCAACCAAATGTGTTGCTACTCGTGGCATGATGCTGCAGCCCTGTTCTCAGGCTTGGGCGTGATCCCCCCCATGGAATGGAACATGAAGATGTCCCAAGCTGGCAACCCTCTTGGATCTTTGGTGCGAAGGATATTGAGTTGGTGTTGCAAGTGAACTTTAGCTTTGCTCTGGTTGCCTGCTGCTGCTGCTGCTATTCCACTTGTCTGGATGCAGAACAACATTGTCGTGGCAGGAATCGGACATCTTGCTCACAACTTGTTCGTACTGGCTTTGCAGCTGTGAACATGCCCCTATATGTCACATGTCCTTGGGAGTGGGATGCTGCCGCTGCTTTCAAATGAGTTCCAATAAGTCGCGGAAAATATTGTCCCTCCAACCAGCAAAGCCCCCAGAACAAACACGTGCAGGGCCAAGCTACATGTCATGTGCACACCAATTGCCCAAGTTGAGGCTGACTGTGAGGCAACCCTTCCTCAGCAGGCTGTACCACGCCACTTACCTTCGGGTCACCCTTCTTGCGTCACAGCAGCGTGTTGCCAGAGCCCACCGTTCGATATGGAACCTGCGTCGCCAGAACATTTGTCAGCTCTGCACGAACAGCGACTTGACACCAGCCAGCTGTCACGCGCCCGCCTGGCGCACCAATTCAAGGCCGTAGTGACCTCCGGGATCACCCAAGGGCTTGCCGATGGCAGCGATGCGCGTTCCGGGCTGAGTCCTCGCGATTCCGGGAACCTTTCTTGTGGGTTTGCCCTGCTAAGAGACCACTCCAGCAAACCCTTTGCGCCAACTTTCTAAACACAACTTGCTTGGCTCACAACTCTTTGGGGCATGTCCAACACACATCGGCAAAAATCAGGACCCCCCTTCTTCCCCCCCCCACCCCCAACATTCCCCCCCTATCCACCCCCCAAAACCCCCTCGCAACGGCTCTTTCGGAAAAAGGGCACCTCTGCAGGCCGGCCGCCACTTTCTCCACCACCGCCTCTTCCAAGGCATCAGACCCCAGGAGGATGGAGCTGGCCTACACGCAAGGTTGCGTCAGGGCGCGCTTCCACCTGGGCCCCCTTTGATGCCCCAAATGGGAAACACCCAAACATAATATGTTAAACATGAAAAAACTCCAGCATAGACCCCAGATAGCATACCATGGCGACGAACCAGGACGCAGCATCATAATGGTTCCCGCGGCACCGTGCTGATGTTGATACACCATGATGATGTTGACAGCATCATGCTGGTACACCAGCCACGGACGATTCCGCGCTACAAATCGGGCAGGAACAAGGCAGAGACGACGCCCTGGTGAGTTCGACGGCATCATGATGATGCGGACAGCATCATGGTGATGCAGACAGCGCCATGGTGATGGCGAAGGCCGCATCATGAAATTCAGCATCATCATCATCATCATCATCATCATCATCATCATCATCATCATCATCATCATCATCATCATCATCATCATGATGTTGACAGCACCATGGTGCTACCACACCCGCGAACCAACGCGGCATCGCAGTGATTCCAGCAGCACCATGACGTGCCTGACAACACCACGATGACACACCAGCCACGAACCATTACGCGCGACACTTCGGGCAGCAACCTGCGTCGCTCATGAGCATTGGCATCCGCCCGATGCCGATGAGCGTTTTTGCTCTGCGCTAGATGACCATCTAGGGTCAGTGGCAGCCAGTGTCAGCTGACTGACTAAATCTAACAAATCTGTCATGCAGTGGGAATTATTGCATCATGATGATGCGGACAACATCATGATGATGCCGCAACCACGAACCAGCACCCCCCCCTAGCAGCCTGCCGTCAATCTCGCACCGTCACCAGACTCTCCAACAGCACGCCGAAGAGTACCCCAATCAGCACCCTGCCGTCCATACACGCGCGTCAAAACAGCAGCCAACAGCACCCCAACGCAGCACCTGCGCCAGCACCAGACATGTCCCCGAGCACCCTGCCTGTCAATCGCAATCTCGCAAAACAGCCCCTCCACAGCACCCCAATGCCCCCTAGCACCCGGCCGTCAATCTCGCAAAACAGCGCCCTCCCACTAACACCCCACACTGCATGCCCCCTAGCACCCGGCCGTCAATCTTGCAAAACAGCACCTCCACCAGCACCTGAAACTGCATCCCCCCTGTTTTGCTCCGCCAGCACTCCAAACTGCACCCCGTAGCACCCGAACGTCAATCTCGCAAAACAGCGACCCAAACTGCATGCCCCCCTAGCCGTCAATCTCGCAAAACAGCATTTCTCGCAAAACAGCATTCCAAACTGCACGCCCCCTAGCACTCGGACGTCCGGCCGTCAATCTCGCACAACAGCACCTCCTAGGCTGTAAGATGCTGGTCCCCACCACCACCCCAAACCGTCACTCTTGCAAAACAGCACCTCCACCAGCAGCCCAAATTGCATGCCCCGTAGCACCCGGCCGTCACTCTCGCAAAGCACCTCCACCAGCACCCCAAACTGCATGCCCACTAGCACCCTGCCGTCAATCTCGCATCACTTTCCCCTCTTTAGTAGAAGTTAGAACCCCTATAGCTTTCAGCTATCTGGGGGAATAAAAATACAAAAAAACAAAGACAAAAAACACGGTGATGCTTAAGCCACCTTTGAAGCTTTCAAGGGGAAACATAGGGAGACCTGTTCCAATGGAAGCGGATCTTGGGAAGACCATCGTCTCCAAGCCACAAGACCATCTGCGTTGGCCAGATGATCCAAGGGCGAGGGGCTGGGGGGCTGGGGGGTTTGAAGCACTGGCCTGGGGCCAATCCGACTGCATGTCGAAAAGGTCGCCCTGGTGCAGCAAGATCCTCTGCTGGACCTGTCAGAACCATACCATCCTCAAGAGGTAAGGACGCATTGCCAGGAGCCCCCAGCGGAAAACGTTAAAGTTTGTGGGACACATACAGTCTTGCAAGATACGCCCTTAAGGTGCCTGCAAAAAGTGGCAAGCGCAAGGAGCCATTTGCCAAGCATACATACAGCTCCAAATACCCGACCCGCTTAACCACAACATCTCCTTCAGAATGGTATCCTGCTTCCATTCGGAAGCGTAAAGCGCCAATGCTCCAGTCCGCCCGTGCACCAAAAAAATCCTCCTCTCAGTCTCTCTGCACGCGAAAAAACGCGTCAAGGGACGCTGGGAATGTTGGGGCCAGTGAAATGGAATTCGGGGAATCTCCTTCTCAACCTCCTCAAACTGCCACCAGACTGCTCACAGATGTGTTGCTCAAGAATCGGGGCCCTGCCGCTTAAGTTTTGAGCCACACTCACGTGGGTCAGTCTTTTTGAGGGGAACCCCTTTTGTGGTCGTCTACCAAGAGGCGAACCGAAGCCGTTTTGGGGGGGTCCCCCAAATAAAACAAGACATACCCAGATTGCCCCTGGCACTGCCGACCCCCACCCTCGCCTCCGACTCGAGGCGCTCAACGGACGCCAAGGCAGCCTTGTGGAGGCCCGCAGACCGCTCCACCCCGCAGGCGATGCCTACCGCACGGGCCGGCCGAAGGCGACGTTTTGTTGGGGAAGACGAAGGCGAGTGGCAATTCTGCATGGCACTTTGATAAAGCCCCCTGTGTTTGGTGTGTTTGACTGTTTGACCATGAGTTAGGGCGGCGAGACTGCATGCGTTGTAGAGGGGCTTGAATCGAGTTCACAGGAAAAAGCCTCGCTTTTGGCGGACCAAACACTGCCCTCGAACTACAAACCACCCACTCCAGAACCCCCGATTCAATGCAAAATCCGTTTAACCTGGACCGCCAAAAACCTGAAGCGCCGATCGCATCGGTCGTTTGCTGGCAGGTTCGAACCGAGTTTTGTGTGGCGAGCTCTGCTGCTGAGCGCTTGCCCCCGTTCTGCGCAGCTTGTGGTGGGCGTGTGATTTCAGCATTTCCATTGGACTCAGTCACTGGACAGTGTGACTCTGTTCGGAGGGAATCAAGCCGGCAAGCCAAACCGGAAGAAACCAGCGACGAGGCGCCAAGCTGCCTCAACAGGGAAGTCTGCCAGTCCTCTAAACCTCCAAGCCATCGTTAATGCATTCACGATGCAAAGCTCAACTCTTTGCCTCTTGGCGAGATGGATTGACCGTTCTCCTTTCGAGCCACGCGCCTCGCGGCACAAGAAGCACCCAGGCACCGACAGCGCGAGCATTGCCGCTGCCCAAGTGGAGCAACCTGGACAGCAAGATGTGTTCAACGGAATAGGGATGAGGTGATGAGGTGATATTTTGCAGTCTGACAGTGACAAGATGTAGTGAGTGTAGTAACAGCGAAATGGCAAACTAGGAAAACAAGGGCATGAGATCTGAGAAGAGAGAGTCATCGAGAACTGTTCAATCTCTGTCTGCCCAATGGAAAGCTTACCGGGCAAATCAGTGTCTAAGAAAGCCAAAATGCAAAACGGAAGAACAACAAGCAAAGGCAAAACAGCCATTCAGGCAGGGGTGCATCCTGCAAAGCGAGCATTGTTCAAGAGAGATTTGCAGGGTGCGGAACGGAGATCTTCTGATCTACTCCAGATGGGTATGATTCCTAATTGGAGATCCTTTCGTGGACATCATTCAAATGCTGGCCGCAAGTGAGCGCACACACCCCGTCTATGACCAGCAAAAACAAATGTGCGGAGAAAAGCACCTCTCTGCAAAGCAGCCGTAGCCCCAAAACGAGGACGAGCTCCACTAATCACCTCAACCCAAGTAACAAACCACAAACCACCCGAAACCTCGAGCAAAGCAACCAACCAACCAACCAACCAACCAACCAACCAACCAACCAACCAACCAACCAACCAACCAACCAACCAACCAACCAACCAACCCGACAGCTCCTCCACCCACCCCACCTCACCCTCCCTGCCCTCCCCCCCGCCTTTCTCCGGGCTCAGGCCCCATGCACGCAATCAGCGCTACCAGGGCGGAGAAGGGCAGCTCCCTGCGACCGAATCGGCTGCGACGGGCGACGCCCCATTTTTGTCTCAGGGCCTTCCACAATTTTTGGCGCCCGGCGGAACCCAACTGAAACAGTTGGAGCTCTCGGAATTTCGGAATTTCGGTCCTCAAAGGTCGGAGTATTTCAAGTTTGAAAGGAAGAAGCCGCAATAGCCGGGAGTCTTTGTGCGCCCAAGTAAGGCGCAAAAAGCAACACCCAGCGCCGACTGCCTCACCTCACGGATGTTGCTCCATGCAGCTGCGGCGGCGCGGTTGAGGAAGAAGCCGGCGTGCTGAGGGCAAGCCAAGCAGGTACCAGGTAGACTTGGGTCTGTCTCAAAATGGTGGATTCACCAAAAAGGGCAGTTTCCTTTCTACCTGGGGATGTGCTCGAAACAGCCGGGAGGTATCTGGAACCCTCCAACCTGCCCCGCTCCAAATGTGGGATCTCGCATTGACCCCAAAGCTGTGGGACAAACACCACAGCAGCCAACTGAGCTGCAGCCCAGATCTTGGTTCAAATGGATGCAAGAAAAGTATATGGCCCTCGCTGCAACCTCTGTGCGAGGAAGCAGAAGTGTGCATCAACTGCGGACACTACTCCCTCTCCAGAACCAGCTAAGCCACATCGGAGGAGGCACAAGTGCGGGTGCGCAAGTCAAGTGCATTCAGAAGCTACTGGCTTCTGAAAAAATGCCAAAACCAAAAACAGTCATTCATGGTACCACGTTGCATCTGCAAACATCTGACTCGTTCAGCAGCACAGGTACAAACAAACATATTCGTGATGCGAGAACCAAGTGTGAGTCCTTCTGCGATACTCCGATACTCCAGCAACCGTGAACTGGTCATGATTGAGAGGAGCCACAATAAAAACCTGGCGTGAACGGTCTACTCAAAACCACGGTGTAAAAGTCCAAAGGGTGGTCCCCAACTTACGTTGGGACTCTCCCCTGGTTAACCTCAGATACCCAGAATCTTATTCGGCCCAGGCCTGCTTTGATATTTCTTGCAGTTCATCTCAGCCTTTATGCCGAAAGTCAATGAGACAGTCCCTTCCCTCCGAAAAAGGGTGCGAGCACAGTGAAGCTCAGGACTTGTCCGCACTTTGGGTGTTGCTCATGCCAGCAATCTCCCGGGAACGGGTTCCCTCGATCTGGTTCTTCCTTGTCCAAGACCCCTGAAAATTGCCAACCCTGCTTCTTCAAGCGAGCAAAGCACAGTTGCTTTGGCATGTGGGAAGTCGCTACAATATCAGCCTCCTAGGACCTAGCTCTAGGTTTTTGTTTCAGCCGCCCGCCGTAGTGCGCTTTGGGCTGGTTTCAGCGGCTCGGTCTCAAGACCGGGGCGCTCAAGAATCACATGGGAGAACAAGCCGGGCTCCCTCGTTTTGTTTGCTATTCAGAGAGTGGTGGTGTGTGTGTGTGTGTGGCTTCGACGTCAGCCGACAAGAAAAACACGTTGAATCTCAAAGTGGTTACACACAGGCGTGTGTCACAACTAGGTACCCAAACATGGAACCCTGGTACATGGAAACCTTCACGAAGCGCTCCACATCCTAGTGGCTCAAAAAGATTGGACCCCCCCCGCCACCTGCCTTTACATCTTGCCTCCACTCGCCTCCACTCGCCTCCATGGCCCTATGGGGCCCTCCCCCCCCGCACCCCACCCACCCCCGGTCATCGGACCCGTTCGCAGAGGACCCTCCACCCCTTCACCCGGACGCCTGAAGGCCGCGCACCAATCGCGGTACAGCTGCATGGGCACCTCGAATCGGAGGGCAGGAAGAAACCTGGCCCCTGTTTGGTGGTTGGAAGGGGCATTAAAGGAAGGCAACATTGGTTTTATTTATTTACTTAGTGTTTTTTTGGTGGGTGGGTGGGTGGGTGGGTGGGTGGGTGGGTGGGTGGGTGGGTGGGTGGGTGGGTGGGTGGGTGGGTGGTGGGTGGGTGGGTGGGTGGGGGTGGGTGGGTGGGTGGGTGGGTGGGTGGGTGGGTGGTGGGTGGGTGGTGGGTGGGGGTGGGGTGGGTGGGTGGGTGGGTGGGTGGGTGGGTGGGTGGGTGGTGGGTGGGGGTGGGTGGTGGTGGGGGTGGGTGGGTGGGTGGGTGGTGGGTGGTGGGTGGGTGGGTGGTGGGTGGTGGGTGGTGGTGGTGGGTGGGTGGGTGGGTGGTGGTGGTGGTGGTGGCTGGTGGTGGGTGGAGTGGGTGGGTGGTGGGTGGGTGGTGGGTGGTGGGTGGGTGGGTGGTGGGGTGCGTGGGTGGGTGGGTGGGTGGGTGGGGGTGGGTGGGGTGGGTGGGTGGGTGGGTGGGTGGGGTGGCTGGGGTGCTGGGTGGTGGGTGGCTGGGTGGCTGGGTGGCTGGGTGGCTGGGTGGCTGGTGGGTGGGTGGGTGGCTGGGTGGCTGGGTGGCTGGCTGGCTGGGTGGCTGGGTGGCTGGCTGGCTGGTGGCTGGGGTGGCTGGGTGGCTGGGTGGCTGGGTGGCTGGGTGGCTGGGTGGCTGGGTGGCTGGGTGGCTGGGTGGCTGGGTGGCTGGGTGGCTGGGTGGCTGGGTGGCTGGGTGGCTGGGTGGCTGGCTGGCTGGCTGGCTGGGTGGCTGGGTGGCTGGGTGGCTGGGTGGCTGGGTGGCTGGCTGGCTGGCTGGCTGGCTGGCTGGCCTGGCTGGCTGGGTGGCTGGCTGGCTGGCTGGCTGGCTGGGTGGCTGGGTGGCTGGGTGGCTGGGTGGCTGGCTGGCTGGCTGGCTGGCTGGCTGGCTGGCTGGCTGGCTGGCTGGCTGGCTGGCTGGCTGGCTGGCCTGGCTGGCTGGCTGGCTGGCTGGCTGGCTGGCTGGCTGGCTGGCTGGCTGGCTGGCTGGCTGGCTGGGTTGAAGGGAAGGCACGCAATTGGGTGTCTTTTTTTGAGGGAATTGGTTTTCAACCTTTGGAGTGAAATAGTTTGAGGCTCAATATCCTTGTTGGGTGGTGGTTTCAGCAGCAAATGAAGGAACATGTGGGCAAGCTGGGTACGAATGTTCCTAAGAGACCCTTTGATGTACATCATTCACACGCACGTTCAGGTCCACCATTCAAGTCCAAAATCATATTATGATTATGTCTCAAAAAGGATTTCCCACAAGCTTTCATCGGGTCGCTTCTCTTCGGGGTTCGGGACCCAAAAGGTTGAACCTAGCTGGGTTTGTCAAATGGGGGAGCCTCCGAAATGCGCATCTTCCCTTCGCCACATGGCATGTGCCCATCTCGGTGCCCGTTTTGATGTCGCTTGGCCTCTAAAGCTACGGCCTTTTGGGGATTTCAGAGAGTACCTAAAGGAAACCACCAGTTGGGTGTGTCCATCGGGGAGCACCCTAACAAAGCTTTGAGTGCTGCTTTGTTTTGTGCAGTGTTGATTTCAGATGAATCTGGAGGCCCGTACTGATGACAGCAGGAAGGGTTCCCTTCTGGTGGACAAAACATTTGTTTTAGAAGATTCTTCCGATTAGCATGGCCCTCTGGATTGATGCGACTTTCACGTTTCCCGCCTCTCAGATCGCTCTCCTTGTGTGTTTTGCAAAAAGAGCGCCAAATGAGCGATATTGGGTAAGGCTTGAAATGGACGCCTGGCAAACACTGTTGTCAGAAAAGCGTAAAGGAAGATGGGTTCGTTTCCATTGTTATCCTCTTCCCCTGCTCTGAAGGCTTCCTTGATATTAGGACAAGTTCCGAAGGATTCGCACGACCGTCAAGACCTTCAAGCCACTTAGGTGAAGCCAACGAGAGCCCCACTTGACAATTGCTTACTTGCGCCGTGGCTGACTGACTTTGAGATTGGAATGTACAAAGCGCGTCCAGCAAACAACCATGTTCTACAGGGTAGGGCAATGGCCAAGCAAAATCACTTGGGCAAGACACAACCGTGAACACTACAACAAACAGTTTGAAGCTGGAAGCAGGTGGCTCAAACAAGGTCGCTTGAAACGTTTTGCCCATTCTCTAGGGGGGAGGATGAATTGAAATGAACTAGACCCCTCATGATTAGCAATTCCTTTCGGTGCCCCTTTACTTTATTGGTAGTTGATGATGTTCTGGACGGTTCACATTCAGTCGACTACTAGTCGTTTTTTTGTTGACACCATCCCAAAGTGGGATCTCTGACACTGTGGAAACGCCGAATCAAATCAACCGGTCTTGGCCAACCAGCAGTCCCGAAAGGGCCCCGCCTTTTTGGCAACTCCCCCTGAGCGCGTTTCGTCGCCGGGTCTGGCTTTGCCTATGATTGATGTTTCCTTTCAAAGACCATCCAAAAGGAGAAAGATCACAAACTTTAAGGACTCTAAAGAAAGGGCCAAACAGGAGGTGTGTACAAGAACAACAAACTAGGGATTGAACAAACACAAGGGGAGGTGCATTCCGACCTTCCAGCCAAGACGCATTCTGCACAAGACGCCCTGCACATTGCAGGCATCTTCCCTGCCCACTGTGGGAACACTGCACAACCTTGGCTTCGGGTGAAGCGGGGTGGTAGGGTAGTACTTGATGCTGGTTCTGAAGCATGAACGAGCCACAGTTCTCACTCTCAGGCAAAAAAAAAAGCAGGGAAGCCACTGATTGACCGTAGGAGTGTGGTGTCTTTTCCTTGGCATGGAAATGCCTGCCAGACCTAAAACCCTTCCGGCAAAAGGATTAGGCCACCCAGTGGCCATCAATCAAACCCTTCCAATCATAAGGCAGCCCCTGAAATTCCTCATGGAGGTTGTGGAACCTGCAAAGCCTTGCATAGAGACCCTTGTTGGTTTCCTTTAAGTGTGCCCTCCATGTGCCAGTACATGTGTATGTTGCTATGTCTGTTGCCATATTGGCTGGTGCAGGCCTTTACGTCTGATACAGCTGCCTGCCGGGAGACATCACTGAGCATGAAGTGAGTCCTCGGCCCGGCGTCAACATGAACGCTCCGAAGCCAAGCTGCGCACGACCTCTGAAGCCGAGCTGCATCGCCCCAAAGTCGTGAGCGGGAGTGCCGCTGGCAGTCCAAGCCTCTCAAATTTGAAGCAGACTTTCCAACGCTTCCGGCTTGCAAAGCTAGACCCCCCCACATTGGTGTGCAGTTGTTGTAAACGGAAACCAACGCAAACCACCCAGTTGGGGGGTCCTCCCTTTCTGGAGACAAACCCGAATCTCTTCAAAGCGGCGGCGGCCCCTCGCTTTGCACTGGCTCCGCCTGCGACGCCATGTTGGCATCGCTGGTCCGAGGGACTTGCTGACGCCTGGCCCAGCTTAAGATCTAGAGGCTGGGATGGGAATGGCAACGAGCCAAATGTGCTCGGGAAATGAATTCGTTGCGGTTCAAATCAGTATGCACTGTTTCATCAACCCGGGGTTCAGTAATGGAGGTCGGGCTTCTGCGAACGATTAAGGTCCGATTCCTTGCCAGCCCGCATTCTAACTCCTGCTTTTTGTGGGGAAAGAGCACCCCTCAAACCTGACACTTGGGTCCAATGGGTACTGATTCGGCAGTGTGTCAGAAAACTAGGGCACTTCACATGGCAACGGTTCTCTCGCGGTCTCCTTTTGCAGACCATTTGCGTCTGTGGATGTCGCCACAATGTCCTAGCTGAAGACCATCCCGCACGTGCAGGAAATTCCCCCCTCAAAAGCCGATCAGTTCGCCAGCAAAACAAGCGTGATACTGGCACCAACAGCGGGGTTGCCAAAACAGCCACCAAAGCTCCCCAAGAAAAAACTGAGGGACCCCCTGTCCCTCCCAGTGTCCCCCCCTTTTTCGCGCGCCTGGCCAAATGCTCCGCATGTAGCTGTTGCAACAGGTTGTTGGTCTCGCAGGGGGCTCCATTCGGCCAGTTTTTGGCGGCCGCAGGGCTTTCAACCAACCGACTTGCCGTGGTACTTCTCAAACAGTGAGGCCCCTTGGGAAAATCCAGCGGCTTGAAAAAAAAAAAAAAAAGAAGGGAGAGATGACAGCCATGGACCAGATGTGGCCACATTCGAACTTCACCGCTCCCGTGCCCGGCCTGTGCGTAGCCCCTCTGTGAAGTTGGGCTCCCTATCCGCAGGCGCTTGTGCAGGCGGAGGCACAGCCTCAGGAAAGGAGAGCTTCCTTGACCCCGAAAGAAGGGCTTCCTGGACAAAGCCAACCTAAGGTGGCCCTCCCTCAAAACAAACACCACCACACAAACACACAAACGCACAAACGCACAAACACACATGGCTGTGGCTCCAAAAACCGGAATTCCAAAATGGGTTGCCCTGGCAAGTGGAAACATGGACCAAAACCTGCGTAACCCCTCCTGTTTAATTTTGAGCCCCAGCCACATGAATTCTCAATTCTTCAAAGACGCCTCAAAGTCCCGCCAAACATCCCCTCACGAGCTGCGTCCCCGACTGCTCTTCATCCATGGACCGCTTCGCCGTGCAAGGAGTTGGAATCCTCGGAGTCGCCCAGACTTGACCCAATCGGTTCCAGGGGAGCCAGTGGAGCCCAGTGATTGACAATTAGGGCCTCTTGGGGCCCGTTAAGGGTCCGGTAAATTGGCTGACCCTAAATGGGCTCCAACATAAATGTGTTCTGGGCTAGGCAGGATTATCCTCTATCCTCTGGTGCAAGCTGGAATCAGGGTCCATCAGCAGAGGCTCGAGTTGGCTGCGTGTTGCAACAAGGCACCCGTGTCCGTTGTTGTCAATCATTCTTCCACAAAACCCACATGATGCCAGCCATGAGGGTTCCAACTTTTGACACCTACCCGATTCACTCGAATGAACACTGTCATCAGTCAACTGCCAAGCCACTGCAGGTGAAACATGGACGCATGGATCTTCGGTGTGGCACCGAACTCACCTTCGCGGTGGCCCGGAAACCGGGCTCCGTTTCGCTCTGCTTATGCTTGTGCTATAGCACGCTAGCGGCAAGCTTCATCCCGCGCTGATCTCGTGTGCGTGCAGAGTCTCTTGTAGGCTTGTCATTTGCGCGTCTCTGATAAGCTCGAACCAACGTGGTTCAGTCGAAGCGGCAGGAAAGTAGTCTCGAGTTGAAGCTGATGCCGAAGACTTCCCATGGGCAGGCTTCCTTTGGTCGTTTTTCAAGGCTGTCTAAAGTTATTCCAAGGGCGGATGATCCCCTGAAAAAACAGAATCCTTACGCTGGCTGCCAACAAATCCTCCAGCGGTGCTGACCCTCCGAGCTCCCATACGAGCAGCCTCGACACTGTGCGTGCCCCGTTTTCCACGCGACGATGCGCGGCTGCATCTTTGTCAGCCTCGCGATGTTTGCACCGCCCACGCGAAAAAGGCTCAATTTGCTTCTGGCCCATGGTGGCCCTGAAGGAGAGCTACAAGCAAAATGATGATTTGCACAAACGAACAAGCGGGGATACGGACGGAGTGGGTATATGGGGGGATTCTCTTGGCGCCATTTCCAATATCAAACTTAGTCAAGGTACATTTAGGGGGAATCCTCCCGCATCCCTGGTTCCTGCTAGTTGATGTGTTTTTTCAGAACCGTTCACGATAACCTAGGACCATCTTTGAAGCCATAGAACCACGCACCATGCTCTGGCAGCCTTCAACCTGCACCGTCCCGTTCCGGATGAGCGCAGTGCACATCGCCTGAGCGCTCTCCTTTGGGTAGATTGCCCTAAACCAACCACCAAAACTGGATGTCAGGACAGCCGGGTGTCTCTGTTTGGCGGGGAGTAGTTTTGGCGTTGCTCTAAAACCGGAAGATGGTTTGCAACGAAATGCCTATTTTGGGCATTCCCAGCCCCCGGCACGACGGTGACAATCGATCTGCCGGATCGCATCGCGCCTCGTGGAAGTCATCAGCGAAGCTCTCATCTTTCAAGAGCTGCCTACAGCTCCAGCAGGAAAGCTCGGCTAACACGCCATGGGACCCCTGGTGTGTCACGGCAAACAGTAAAGAGACCACCCAAAAAAAAAGAAAGAGACGAGGCTGCTTCTTTAGGTACTGTCTGCTCCGTGGAATAAGTCGATGGCTGGACTCCCGCAGAGACGGCCACATTTTCCACCTGGCCGTCCGGTGAAGATGTTCTCTGGCCAGCTTTCAGATGAAGAGGGACCGTCTCCTCGTAAACATCACCCCACCCAAAGAAAGGTCCACGAGGAGCCACGCAAATGGGATCCTTACATCGAAGCGACTCAATGAGGAACGTCCCTCCGCATCCGCAATTCGTGCGCCGCAAAACGCCCTCGGCTCTCACCTCCAGAGCCAGCGCATGCACCGCGCTTTTCAGGAAGTCCTGCTCCCCGACGAAGCCGTCCTCGGCTTCTTGTTGCTCAATCGGCCGGCGGCCTGTTCAGCCTGTGGACCGAAGGAGTGCCCTCCAAAAATGACAAACACCCCCAAACGAAGCGGTGAGAAAAAACTTGAGCTGTGTAAGGCGTAGCTCCGGTGCCAATCTGCTTGCCCAAAACGAAACAAACAGTTGATCCTCGAAATTGTTTGCCTTCGCGGGACCCGAACCCCTTTTTTCTGGGACCCTCAGCGCGGCACATTGTCCAAATCCATGCGGCTCAGCCTAACGGCGCTGACACAAGGAAAAAAATCCTTTTGTTTAAAAAGATCCGTTTGTTTATCAAGGGGTTTAACCATGGGCACCATAGGTGGCCTTTTGGAAAAATAGATGGTCCTGGTAAATGGGATACGTCCCATTTTTTTTACCAAACTAACCTAAGAAGGGACACCTATGATTGGCACCCACTAGTTTGCTCCATGACTTGCTGCCTAAGCATGCCAAGGCAGAAACCTCACCCATTTCTTCACGCCAATTCTGCAAAACTTCCCTGCAACGCAAAAGCTGGGTTGGAACTCCAAATCAAACCATATGATGGACAGGGAGCCATGGACAATACGTGAATCCTTTGAGCTGTCTCCCTTTGCTGGCTCAAGAAGCAGGCAGTATATCGCGAGTTTCCTTCAACCACCCCAAAGACGGAGGTCTGCCAATAAAGCAAACCCAACCATTTCGGGTCCCAAGTCCTATGACACAAACCCGACTCTGGTGCTAACCAAGTAGCATCCAACCCCCTTGGCGCCGCGCGACACAAACCCCACGGCGCTGAGGCGGCGGCAGCTTGCCCGCCAGCGTCTCCGAGCGGTCCTGCAGGTGACGACAGCACCTGTGCGACGGCACCGAGAGAAGCCCAGACTAGGCACCGCTCACCCACACATGGCTATACTTATGTGTGTGTGTGTGTACCTAAAAGTACATATCTATATATATATACTTTACTGACATATGCACTACACATCGTTAAATATGTGTATATGTCGCAGCCCGCGAATGAACCCTCCCTGTGTGACCACTCCAAGTCAGGTCTTCGACCAGTGGAGTATTGGGACTCGCGAGCCTTCCGTTCCCTACGATTTTTGCTGACTCACCAGAAGTATCGCGTAGCGGTCAGCCACGTCGACGTGGAAAACGTACACACACACACACACACACGTCAACCCTCTCTTTTGGCCGCAAGCCTCGCGTCAAAGCAGCAGCTGCTATTTGCAGTGTGCCCAAGCGCGATCGCGGGGTCAGCTCGACCCGCAGATTCTGGCCAAGGCCTCTCTATTCCATGGTGACGTAGGCACCAAACCCAAACGGGTAAAACTCGGGTGGCAACTCTCACAGGCACGAGTCGTATCCGGATTGCGACCCATGCCCGTCTCCGTAGAGCAAGAAGGTTGCCTCCTGTATCTTCGCATGGGATCCCAAAGCAAAGGCGCTGGAGTTCTGTCTCCGCGCCTGCACCCGCGCCTCCCTGATTCAAGGGGCGGGCGACTGGGCAAATCCGGCGACTGGATCTACAGCGCTCGGAAGCCCAAAAGGAACTGTAGTGCATTGGCAAAGCTCTAAATGCGACAGAACTTCCAAAGCTGACAGCTGCGGCTTGCAGTTCGAAGGGTCCGTCAATTAGGATGTTCAAGTGTCTCGCAGCTCGTTTTTGTCAAGCGCGGACATAGGTTCAAAACCATTTCCCTTTAATTCGGCGTGCTGGATCACTCTCCAAAGCATGAAGGCTCCAGGATGTGTACCGGGTCCCTGCTCGGAAGTGCTCCAGTCACAGCGCGTGAATTGCACACAGGTCAGCATGCAAGGCACGTGAAAAGAGCGTGCAACGCGATCATGCCATCAGAGCGAGTATGTCTTCTTGCTGAAGACTGAGAAGAAGTCCCGCTTGCTGATCTTGGCTGAAATCACAGGATGCAGAGGAAAGGATACAACTTGAGGGCTGGACAGTGACATGGGTCTGTCTCAAAATGGGGGACCTCAAATTGGGGGTTCTCCTTTGTTCCCGTTTTAAACCACCCAACAAGAGTACCCTCAAAAAGACACACAGACACACCCACCCACCCACCCACACACACACACACACACACACACCTCACAAGCTCTTGCTTGCCTGATTTTGAGTCTCGGCTGTTTTGAGTCGGTGCCCTCTTTAAATCGCTACCCCGTGTCCACCGATTTAGGTCAAATAGATCCACCCCAGCTTGGTGCCGCCAGGCCACGTTGTCGACATCCACCGCCATGGCAGTGAGTGCCATTCCTGAAGCTACGGGAAACCCCACGCGCTTTGGAACCAGCTGGGTGCTTGTTTCGGTGCTCGTCTCACGTGAGAAAACCGACAAAGAAACGTGGATGAGACCTTCGGGCCTGTTTCGGGTGGAGGGCCAAAGCAAAAAAATCGACTCCCGCCGGTCCTTGGCGGCAGCCAGTGTCAAGTCCTTCAGAGATCCCAGTGAAACAAGAAAACTTCAGCACTTCAGCCAACGCTTACCCCACTGACGATTCACAAAATGCCCTTTTGTGCTGGTTCGATGCTCGATGCATCATCCTTGGGCCAATTTAAACTGAGCCTCCTTTTGATACTTGGGGTTTGCAACCCTGCTCTAATACGTTCACGTTCGATTGATGAGTGGTACTTGACCGTGGGCGGTCTCAAGCAACCAGTGCGTCAACCCATGGTATTCATGGGGCGTCTTCAACTGGTACAAACTCTTGTTACGGGAACCCGAAAAACCTTGCAACCCCCCACTCGCACGCGCCCACGCGCCAGTCCAACGGCATGCGCGTGCTGCTGCAGCCCGTGCACTGCATCATGTCCTGGCTGGCTGACCAGAAGCTTCCCTTTGCGCCTTTGGAGGTATCCCAACCTTTCCGATACCCGGGGTTTCGAGGCGTACGTTGGAATGGGCGCCAAAAGTTGTCCAAAAGGCGTCCCAAACTTCCAGGTTGGGGGGGGAGGGGGGGGAAAAAGAAAGCGGCCCGTGGGGCCTGTGGGTTTGAAAGCACCCTTGTTCAGGCCTTGGCATGGATGGACCAGAATTTTGCACACAGAAACCTAGATGTACGGATTAGAATTCGCTCAAAGAGGTTCACAGACACGAAGATGTATATAGTTTGCGATGTTTATTCAATAGATACATGAATCAATACCCCCTCTAGGATCTGCACCCTACCAAGTCACCGGCATTTACGATGAAGTTGTGCATGTGATGCCCGACACCTAGCTAAACATCGGTTTCCTGACCATTGTTCATTAAAAGGCTACAGTGGCAAGGCCGAAATATTACATTTACGAGTTAGACCTCCCACTGAATATCTGCTTTTTCAGACTAGACTAGGGGTGTGTAGCTTTTGAGAAACCATGCATGCTTTTGCCACTTGGGATATGCATATATTCAAATATGTACATAGATATACAGACAAGACTCTGCACAAAGAGGGTTCAACACAAAGATTGCCTGTTCTGTCAAATTCATTTAACAAGGCTATAAGCAAGTCCTTTCCCTAGGCCGATTGGTATTCACTGTGAGTTCGAACATATATTCCCGAAAAAACTGGCTTAAACATGGGTTGTTTTTCATAGAGTACGTTTAACAAGCACTCGCATTCACAAATGCCAAGGCAAAATTCCCACGGTCAAAATGTCACATGTACATGTTGGTTCTTGGGAATTTGTAGCTGTTAAGAACACGTAAATGTGTCTGTGGTTTGAAATCTCGATCGCAAGCTACGATGTTCAACAAGTTCTACTGTTTGAAAGGGCAAAATGCAACGACGACTCTGGCACGAGTGAGTGAAAAAGCATACGATAAATGATCCAACAGACCATTCAACTTAAATGTGGGTCTCTATTATCTCCCAAAATGCAAAGCCGGTCACAATGCATGTAGGCTTGCATGCAGGGAAAACAAAAAATATACACCACAAGTGCACTCTCACAGTCTCCAGCCCAACAGAATAGGGGACTGTGAGAGTGCCTGTGCGCACTGGTTTTGACTGTAGTCCACATCAAGAGAAGGGGAACTAGGACAACCAAAAAGTTTCTAAACATAGGGTTTGGGCAGGTCAGCCGTCTGGCACAAACAACAAGTAACCCTCAGAGGATATGTGGCGGTATGCCCCAATTATTTATTTTTGCAAGGTTTCGTGCATTTCGTGATTTATGTTGTATGCATTTGTCACCCTCATTTGCCACAGCACTCATTTCTTTCTTTGCCCCGTAGCGAAGACAGGCTGTGGATGCTGAGAACATTCGGACCTGTGGCAGTGGAAAGCCTAACGCAGCGAATGTTCAACATGTCCATTGCATGTTCGCAAGGGCGGCGAGACAGCCAGCTACGTTGTTTGTGTGGGTGTTTGTTTCGAGGTCTCATTGTATGCTTCAAAAAAAGAACGAGGACGTAGACCACAATTTCATTTGAGCGTGTGTGTTTGTTTCGTGTGTGTGTGTGTGTGATGTGTGTGTGTGTGGGTGTTTGTTGCACGTGTTGGGGTCGCCCCCATTGCAGCATGCAGAATCAAAAAATATGTCTTTTGTGCAGTGTTTCAAAACCGCAGGCCCAATGGTGGGCCCTTCTACACAAAAAACAACGGGGGGGAGGGGGCGGGGTTGACTTCGGACGGACAAGGCCCCAGTGCAAAAACTCGCCCTTGACATGTTTGAGCAAGTTGAAACGAATATCCTCTTAACATGTTCTTGGTTTGCCACAGGGCCATTCCCGCTTCGTCTCCAAGGGGTCCATGGCAACTGCTTCTTCACAACATCGGGTCAAAAAAAAAAAGCGGGCCTTAAGAACCCAACAAACACCCTCCAAAAATCCACTAGCCCCAGGTGGGGCGCATCTCATGTGCGATTCCCCCTAGCTTCCAGGAGCCCTATGGTGCACCAGGGTCCTTTCCATCACCAACATGTTCAAATGTCTGCCACCATCCAACCAAAAACAGGGCAAAACCGCAAACCCTCCATAAGCATCCCAACCAACCTGAGACCCCCAAGCTAAAAGCCAGCCCCAAAACCCCAGATCCAAGGCCCCGGGCCAAAGATCAGCAGCTGAGGACCCTCCCAGCCACTGGCCCACCTCTCGAAACAACTCACTCCACTCACAGAAAATTGAAATGACAAGCGCGACTCGACCTCAAGACCGAAAACTGGATGGTCTTCGGCCTGGAGCCAGGCGCCAGCGCCCTGGCGACGCTCTCTCCATCGGGTCCCGATGAGCTCCCTTTCTGCCCAGAGATCGACTTTTCGTAATATGAGTGCCTGGTTCTTATAAGAAACTGAGTGAGCCTCCCTGCCAGAAATTTGGAGCCATGTTCCAAGCAGAAATCTCTAGTGACACCTTGCAGATTGCAGACACGCCATTCTCCACATGCTTGTTGAAACTGCGGTGGGGTCTTTCGGTTTGCAGTACCGGTTCGCCGGCGCCTGAACTCCGGCCCAGCGGGCAGGCCACCGTGGACCTCACGCTTTCCCGTGAGACATGAAACGCCCAAAACAGAAAGCCCATAGTGTTGGTGTCCGGTTAACCTTCGAAACACTCAAACTTGCAATCCCTCATGCAATGCCGGCAAACGTCAGAGGCCGAACGAAACTTGGAAAAACCCAAACACGCTTCTGCCCTAGCAGCCTGCGACTGAAAGTGAGCCACCTCAATATTAAACTGACCCTCATGGGCCGGATTCTTGTGCCGCACAAAGTCTGAGCTAGGTTTCGAGGAGCTAGGCTGGGCTTAGGAAGGGGCTAGGAATCTGTTCGCCTTGGTTTGAGGCGGGCTTGAGGTCTATGGTTTATTCATCGGAGCGACAAGAACACCTCTTTCTCTCTTGGAAAAATCGGGGGCCATGGGCGAGCGGGCGAGCTGCCTACTTTTCTAGTTTGTTGGGGAAGAAATCCATGTGCTCCCAAAGTAACCTTTGACCAACAACTTTCTCAGTTCGCTGTCCAAGGCACCACGAGCACATCTAGCCAAGGGATGGACAGCGTCAAGGGCCGTTCCTTGCAAAACCGAGACTCCGAGGTGTGACAAGGTGACCCGTTTTGGGGTCTCCTCAATGGCTTGGACCTGCTTTCAGGCGGCTCAGTCAAAGCTAAGCGTCCTTTAGCCACTGCAGATCGTCCTCGGATACCTGGCCGTAGCACCAAAGTGACGGTTTACACTCTTCATGAGATAATGATTACAATATCAAGCCTCACAATTCTTCTTTGTGGGATGGATGATCGTCCTTGAGAGCTCAAAGAAACAGAAATAGGCTACGCCAACTATTCTAAAACTCGCTGGTTCGCTTTAGTTTCTCTTTAACACATGGGAACGTCCGATTGGACATCAAATGCATGGCCTCAGAGTGGTAGTGGCTCTCAGAGCGCCTCGCAAAGTGCCCGCACCATCCCCTTTCTCGAGTCAGCCCCGGTCCAGCCAGCACCAGAGAATCAGAGATTTATACCATGTTCCCTGCACCGGCAGCCAAGTTGCTCGCCGGCGGGATACAAAGCCTCACGCATGGTGGCAAAGCACACTTCCACTTGCAACTCAGTCAACAGTTTCCGGAGCAGCAGCAGCAGCAGCAGCAGCAGCAGCAGCAGCAGCAGCAGCAGCAGCAGCAGCAGCAGCAGCAGCAGCAGCAGCAGAAGTACAGAATGACACCTTTTCCGCAACTCTGTTTGAGTTGAGCGTTCGGGTTGTAGCAAGCCGCAACAAGAACATGTCACATTTTGATGTCAAGAGCTCCAACACAGTCAACACACTTGGCACGAACAGGCTGCTTGGAGAGACGCTGAGTAGATCTATGTTGACAGTCGCTAGATTAGCCCAGCAGCGCACAACAAGTCGTCGTCCGTGACACCTCTGACGCTCAGGGCGTCATGTGTGCGCGCCAACCTGGCAGTTGCCAACACTCGCAACCAACTACGACAGCGGCTGACACAAGCCGTTGCAAAAAAATGTAGCTAGGATCCACTTATCTGGGGGACCTTCACGGAAGCCGTTCACGCTTCCCCACAAAATTGGCCAAAACCTCACCTGAGTTTGTTGCAAGCTGTCGGACCAGCCTGATGACTCTGGCACTGCCACTGTCTGCACCACTTACCTCATCTAAGCAGATCCTGCTGTCTGTCTGCTCCATCGAAAAGAGACCCATGGCAGCACTCCTTCTTGTTTCCAACATTGATTGCTGAGCAAATTGTCTCGACACACTGAATGTTGTCTTGGAACCTTTGGTGGACATCATTCACACGATTTTGTTTCAACCATTCGCGAGGGCATTTCACATTGAAAATCATAGCCACATCGCCCTCTCTCCTTTTGCCAGCCAAGCTTCAAGGTTACCGACAAACACCAGCAGATCCTTTCCAATTTGCACTCTGCTTGGCATTCTGGAGACACATGACAAGTGCTTTCTGCATCTTGTCTTGAGCCCGAGAAGGGATCAAACTCCTTTTGACTCCGACCACATCACATTGGACATCCCCTCTTCAAGCGAGTCGGTCCTTGCCCTGCTGGAATCCTGCAACGACCAACAGTTCTTGCAGCTCATCCGCGCAGCCCTGAACATCCTCAGCAAACCAAAAGACCCAAGCAAAGCTCTGTGTTGCAAGTTGGAGATATATATATATATATATACCAGCCAAGCATCGCCCACAAAAATGATGCGTCCTCCATGCAGCCTCTCCTGCAAGGGTGTTGATACACCATAGCCAAAAGAAAGCAGGCGCACGCCACGCGCACTTGGTTCACGCGTGCACCCAGCCTCGCGCATTACCGTTTGATGAATCACCTCATGAGACCGCGCGCTGTGACTCAAGCTGCTCTCATGGGAAATGATTGTCTCCTTTCCAAGGCACGCTGGGCAGCGGCGATTGAGATGGCTTCATGGTACAGCCCTTTCCGGGCAAGGCGGCAGCGGCCTTGGCGACCGGCGGGCCAGCGGAACAAAAAAGCTGGAAAGAGAGACGAGACAAATGCCTAGACTGAAATGGTCAGGGCCGGCAGAAAGCGGGGCAAGTGCGAGCATAGATATTTTCTACACATCCGCATCATATTCGATGACACCGAGTGGCTGCCATGGAGTGCAACTGTGAGCCCAAGGCATTGGCATCCCAAGAATGCAAAGTAGCGACATCCACGATGCGGTCCCAGAAGCTGCCTGCAACAATCAGCCCCAACCAATTCGGGTGCCTGCACCGGAACCTCTTATAAACTCAATGCTAAGCTAGAAAGATCTCTGTTAGCAAGCGTCGATCACCTCTCTTCAGCTTGCCCTTTGGTCTTCTAGCGAGCAGTATCAGTTTACTTCAATCTATGTGTTTACTTTTGTAAGTGTAAAACTCAAAGTAAAATGCCAAGGAAATTGAAGCCAAGGCGCGGAAGCATCCCATGGTCGAAATAAGTCGAGCAGAACCTGCGTGCGCTTCTGGTGAACGCAAGGTCTCCATGCACAATGTCTCCGGCCTGCCGCCTAATTCAGTTGCTCTGTCTCACACGGCGCGGGCTACCCGTCCAGTACCGCAAGACTCGAGCGAGATGCTAGCTGTCCACTTGAGAACAGAACTTTGCTGCAGTTGCTACATCTGGGCAAAAAAAAAGCCATGTCTCCTTGCAAGCTGGCCGTCGCAAGCTCAGCACTGCACTCGGCTGCTATGGCGGCGGCAGTTGCCTGCTCCAGAAACCATGAGCTATGGGAACAGACAAGGATTTTGAGACAACTCATGTTGTGGGAATCAACCCTTTGCGTCCCTTGGAAAATAGATGGCACTGGTACGGAAACAAACTGAAAACCGATCCCATCTATGTTCAAATAAACCGACCCCCGCCTGCCGTCACTTTCGCAACAAGATCCGTCTGCCTTTAAGCTTCGGATCCAGGAATGCTTTAAACCGTCCAAAAAGGACACACAATAGAAAAGGGAGTGCCGGAAATGGGTGGTTTCCTTTTGAGTTCCCCTCGAAGCCAACCCCAAAAAATGGTACCCTCCAAAACCACACGCCCATACCTCAGGAGGATAAATGTCAGTGCCTCTCTCTCTCTGCAAAGCCAATCGTGGTTCACCCGCGGATCGCAATCGCCAGCTCCTTTTTTTGTGTGGCAGGAATGAAAAGCTCAGCTATCACCCTCTTTTCAACGTCCTCCAGGCTTTGGGGTGTGGTAAGTCGACCTCGGGTATGACAAAAGGCAACAGCTTGCAGGGGTCGAGTTCTCCAAGGCCCAAGGCCAAGAGGCGCCAAGGTTCCCGGTGAAACAACAGGGATCCTTACATGAAAAACACCTGAACATTGCCTTGTCAATGGTGGTGTCCCCTTATTTTTGGTGGAAAAAGCCATGTTTCAAATGGGCAAACATGTATCTTTTAAGGAGCCCTGAACAACCAGCAAACCCGACCCCGGGACCTTGTGCTTCTCCAGCTGCGGCTGCAGCTGCTGCAGCACCGCCGCCACCTCAAAAAAGCGCCGATAGCGCTGGGCTGGGAGGCGGCCGGTGGATCATAGGGAGCCGGTTGAGAACCATTGATGGAACCCTTGTTGGATTGTGGATGTTTGCCGTTGTTTGACGCCCGTGTTTGGATGTGCAGATGGAGGCCAAACACCTGGATTGTGCTGATCTTGACATACGACCAAGAAAGGCTTTGATAGCTCAAGTAGCGGAGCGAGGCACAGAACGAGGCAACAAGACGCGGAGAGACAGAGGCAGAGACAGAGCAAGTATGAGGGGAAGGAGAGAGAGGGAGACAGAGGCCGAGACAAGGAGAAAGAGGGGAGAAGAGACTTTGTAATGGTTCGTTGAGAACACGTCTTGCTGGTTCTCGATAAGGAATCAAGAGGGGTTTCGGGAATAAACCAGGGATCCCCTCAAATAACCAAAACACTAGAGCACCATGCAAAGCTAAGTCCACCCACGTTGATGCGCTGATCCTCTGCGTGAAGAAAGCTCTGGCCCAGCTGGACCTGGTGTCTCAAACCAGCTTGGAAACAGCGTAGGGGGCCAATTCACCCGACACGCGAAATGTGAATGCAACTGCCGAAGGGTCAAGGACTCCTAGATGAAATTGGCAAATTACCCTTCGCCTTGCCCCTTTCAGAGTCCCTCTGCAAGGTTCAATCATCTGAGAGGCAAGTGCACTCGTTGAGGAAGCGCCCCCTCTTTGCATGAAAAATATTGTTTCAAGAAAATAGTGGATGCCTTGCATCGATACCCACATCAACGGGTGCATAATGCACACAAGTCATGGGTCTGCCGTAAAATAGGGAACCTGAGAATCATTTGGGATGGATTCAGTAGGAAACCAAAGGAAACCACTCAGAATTCCAGATGCACCCATGGGTGCGTGGCCTTTGGGAGTTGCCACTACGTGGCTGTCTTCTTGCGGAGACCAAAAGGACACCAGCCATTGTGCAGGTTCCTCCCAATTTTGAGACCGAACCCTTTTTTCAAGACAAGCTGGATCAGTGTCCCTTCCTTCCCAACAGACCAAAGAATTTGCCCGCCTGGCGCAGGAAGTTCATCACCTCAGGCGTGCTGGTTGTTGACTTTCCACCCCGAGCAAGGGACACTGCAAGAACTTGGGTGCCACTCCTCTGGAGAGGGGGCAAAATGGCAAACGGGACTGCGTTTGGACGAGGAACAGCGTCTAAATGTTTGCTGGCCACCACTCTCCTGGTGCACGATGCCCATCAAAGGGAAGTCACATTTATTTCGATATCAGGCGAATCAGAGGCTCACCTAGGTTCCCGGTTCCTCCCTCCCGGTGCAGCCAAGATCGCCGCCAGGGCATCCGCCAGGAAGTCGGGGAATGCAAGCAAGTGCGCTAAGACGAGCTCCTAACGGGAACCAACGGTTGTATCTTGTATCCTTCTTGTGGTGACCTCTCTGGGTTGTTTTGACAGAAGAGGGAAACCACAGAGAAGGGGAACTTTTTGATCATGGACCATGGAATCATTCAATTGCCAAAGAATTCATGATGCAATGTGTGTCTGTTCAACAACTTGATAATACAAATACGATGAAAAGACATACAGATATAAGTAGGTAGTTTGACTGTATATATAAATATCCGCCGACCCCTTCTCCTCAAAGGGGGAGGCGCACGGGAAGGGTGGTTGCAGTACAAGCGCATGCATTAATCTTTGAGGCAAGCATATGACTACTGGCATCATACGGATGCCCATCATCATCATCATCATCATCATCATCATCGATATGATCCTTCATCATTCTTATCGTCAACATCATCATCATCAACATTTCTATATCCTTCAACATCATCATCTCTTATTAGCCGGCACTGGTGATGCCGAGGATGTCATCATCATCTCTTATTAGGCAGCACTGGTGATGCAAAGGGCGTTATGATGATAGTTGTCATCATAATCATCATCATCATCATCCTTATTATGATGTCATCGCTCTTCTCATCATCATCATGATGATCATCATCATCTCATTCTTATTCTTATTCTTATATGCATTTCAAAAGTAACGTTAGGCCCCATTGGCAATGCAGAGGATGCTACGATGATAGTTATCATCACAGTCCTCATCCTCATCATCACTATCATCATGGTCATCATCATCTCTTGTTAGCCGGCACTGATGATGCCGAGGATGCTACGATGATATATATCATCACAGCCCTCATCTTTGTCATTGTAATCATCACGGTCATCATCGTCTCTTAGTAGCCGGCACTGGTGATGCCGAGGATGCTACGATGATAGTTATCATCACAGTCCTCATCCTTGTCATCAGTATCATCACAGCCATCACCATCTCTTAATAGGCAGCACTGGTGATGCAAAGGGTGTTATGATGATAGTTATCATCATAATCATCGATGTCATCGCTCTTCTCATCATCATCATGATGAACATCATCATCTCATTCTTGTTCTTATTCTTATGTGCATTTCAAAAGTAACGTCAGACCCCATTGGCAATGCAGACGATGCTACGACGATACTTATCATCACAGTCTTCATCCTTATCATCTATCATCATGGTTATCATCATCTCTTATTAGCCGGCACTGGTGATGCCGAGGACGTCATCATCATCTCTTATTAGGCAGCACTGGTGATGCAAAGGGTGTTATGATGATAGTTGTCATCATAATCATCATCATGATCATCCTTATTATGATGTCATCGCTCTTCTCATCATCATCATGATGATCATCATCATCTCATTCTTATTCTTATTCTTATATGCATTTCAAAAGTAACGTTAGGCCCCATTGGCAATGCAGAGGATGCTACGATGATAGTTATCATCACAGTCCTCATCCTTATCATCACTATCATCATGGTCATCATCATCTCTTGTTAGCCGGCACTGATGACGCCGAGGATGTCATCATCATCTCTTTTTAGGCAGCACTGGTGATGCAAAGGATGATAGACATCCTTATTATGATGTCATCGCTCTTCTCATCATCATCATGATGATCATCATCATCTCATGATGGCACTGATGAAGGCGATGACTATGATGACAATCATCATGAAAATGATAAGGATGATGACTCTTATGATAACTATCATCGTAACATCCTCTGCATTACCAAAGCTGCGGATGATGTTAACTATCATCGTAGCATCCTCTGCATTACCGGGGATGCCCAACGCCACAATTGAAATGTATTTAGAAAGTATAGAAGAAAGATAGAAGAAGAGATGATGATGATGATGACAATTGATGATGACAATGATGATGACAATGATGATGACGATGATGAAGGCGATGAGTATGATGACAATCTGCACTGTCATGATAACTATCATCGTAGCATCCTCTGCATTACCAAGGATGCCTAATGCCACAATCATCGTAGCATCCCCTGCGTTACCAAAGCTGTGGATGACTGTCATGATAACTATCATCGTAGCATCCTCTGCATTACCAAGGATGCCTAACGCCACAATTGAAATGTATATAGAAAGTATAGAAGAAAGATAGAAGAAGAGATGATGATGATGATGACAATTGATGATGACAATGATGATGACGATGATGAAGGCGATGAGTATGATGACAATCTGCACTGTCATGATAACTATCATCGTAGCATCCTCTGCATTACCAAGGATGCCGAATGCCACATTTGATATGTAGAAAGAAGAAAGATAGAAGAATAGAAGGAAGAGATGATGATGATGATGACAAGCATGAGGACGATGACGAAGGCGATGACTATGATGACAATCATCATGAAGATGATAAGGATGATGACTCTTGTGGCAACTATCATCGTAGCATCCCCTGCATTACCAAAGCTGCGGATGACTGTCATGATAACTCTCATCGTAGCATCCTCTGCATTACCAAGGATGCCTAACGCCACAATTGAAATGTATATAGAAAGTATGGAAGAAAGATAGAAGAAGAGATGATGATGATGATGACAATTGATGATGACAATGATGATGACGATGATGAAGGCGATGACTATGATGACAATCATCATGAAGATGATGAGGATGATGACTCTTATGATAACTATCATCGCAGCATCCTCTGCATTACCAAAGCTGCGGATGACTGTCATGATCACTATCATCGTAGCATCCTCTGCATTACCAAGGGTGCCTAGCGATGATCATGACTACGCATCACTATCGAAACGGCACCTCGCCTCAGATGCCATTTGTGTCATTGAGATTTGGAGTCCTGCCTTGATGATAATCATCAAGACGCATCATTCGCAGCATCTTTGGCAATCATGAGGATAATCATCACTACGCATCCCCAGCATCTCCAGCAGCGATGATCATAATCATGACTACGCATCACTGTCGAAACGGCGCCTCAGATGCCATTTGGGTCAAAAAGAAACCAAAGAAACCAAAACCAAGGGCACTGTTTTTGGTTGCTCGAAAACCACAACTAAATCCAGGGGTTGGCGGCACTGGGCGGCAGCCCTTAAATATATGTATATACCAATATGTATATGTACATATTTGTATGCATGTGTAATGTATATATATACATGTATTTTGCAACATACCAAGTGTGTTGGTTTTAGCGACGTGTTGTTGGCGTTTGTCAAGAAATGTTACCCCATCAAACTGTTCAACGCCAATTCTCTTTTGGGTGACCCTACATAAAACATCCAAAATGTTGTCAAAACTTCAGAGTTGCACGGACGTAACCAACAGCTGTGGGTTCCCCAGCGCAGGCCTCGCTTTACGCCTGTCCTGCAACATGCGTTGTGTTATTGAGGAATCAAACACCGGAGATGCTCATTTAGAAGATAAGAACTGCTCTTAGCAATGCCAGCGGAAGAAATTCTACGACAAATTCGAGTCCTCAATCTCCTCAAAGTCGAGCCCCTCTGCGCGTGGCAGCTCCCGGGACAGGACCAGGGTATCCTAGCAAGCATCTCCAAGAAAGCGAGGAAAGTCGCTGTGTGGCCTTTTGTCACCCTATTCAAGGAAACCCGCAATCTCGGCAACCTTCTCAGTCTCAAGAGCGGCATTCCCAAACTCTGCCACCAAACCAGGAAAATGCCTGCCAATGGTTGGATCAGCACACGCACGTGGGGGCACCATGATGCACACAACTGCCTGCACACCTTTTATTACACGCGCCACGCCGATAGGGCATATGCGTGATGAATCCACCTGGTGCATCCTGCCAGTTCTCGCACGCTGTCTCAAAGACTAACCCATGCGCGTTGCAGCGTTTGTTTTACATGGTGAAACGAATGGACCATGTGCAGTTCATCTGATGATAACTGAACTATGATAACTGCGGTAGCTCTACGGGCACCGGAGGGTTGTGCTCTGCCAGGACACTATGTGGTGATTCATGGTACCTCGACAAACCAAATGGCCCTGCCGACCATCATTCAAGCTTCTGACCTATGAGCTTCCGACATGGTGTTGGCACGCCGTAGCAAGAACGGGAAATGGAGAAACAGGCTTTGAGTCCGTAGGCCGCATCTAAGGCAGCAAGCGCGGCAACAAAATTCCTACATTTTCCCTTGTGCCGAAAGGGCTGTCGAATGCCCATGTGCAAAATGTCATCTGGCGTTGCGCCCCCCATCTCTTCTGAGTCTCGAAGATGCTGAGGGATCATCTTCAACCACCAGGAAGCTCACCTGGCTTTCTCTTCTGAGCTGGTCCCAGCAGGCCCCTCAACCAAGCTTGAATGTCGCAGGTGCGTTTGCAATCTTCACGCTCCGCGGTTCAGGGGCTAGTCCAGCAGTGCCTGGCTTGGGCTCTTGAGCAGCTCGCGCTATCACCTTCCTCTTGCAGCCAAGCTCAGGCGTTCCACGGAACTCTCTGCAGCGCCTCACCGTTCTCACAGTGTGGACGTCGCCCACCACGCGCTCATCGCTCATGGTATCAACTCCTGGGAGTATGCCCAGCCGCCACCTTGACGCCCTTGGTGTTGCTCTCTTCCTCCTTCTGCATGTGGAACACCGCGCCAGTCCTGCCAGTGGCGCGGCACTGCCCAAAGCTCTTACTTATTGCCCTCGTCCTTCTTGAACTTGCCCTTCTGCTTGTCCTTGGTTTTGCCTTTCCAGAGCGCCTACATCCATAGGCATAGGTCCCGAACGGTGCTTCCACTCAATGTCTTGATCCCTGGTTCGGGGCGCATTGCCACCGTCAGATCCCTCAAGATTGGGGGATTGGAGCCGACAGGCTTTCCGCGAAAGATATCACTTCATGCCCTATGAGAGCCTGGTCTGCTTGCCCATAGCCGAAAATGCCTAAGACCCTGTACAAGGCGGTCACCCTTCGCGACTATTGCGTCTTTGTCGAGCGCAAGGCTGTCATCAGGTCAGGTAGGGCGCTCACTGACACGGTGGACCGCATCACCGACCGCAACGTGACCTAGGTTCACACAGGGTAGACGCCACACAGGGTGCTGGTGAACTCCGCCCAGCTTGCTCCTCAATGCCTGAGGAGCCCGTCCTCAAAGCCATTCTGATCCCAGCTGATGTTGGGATCTCCTGCTTGGATTGGTCCTGACAGCGCCCGAAAAGCAATTGCAGTGCTCCATGTGCTCCAAGAATTGTTCGTCACCTTGCTCCAGTCCGGGCCAATGATGCCCGTCAGCATGCTGGTGTGGCGGCAACCGATCTTTGGCTTGTAGGTGTCTAGCAGCATCTTCCACGCTTGCAGCCCATGAGGATGTTGATTGAACACGCGTGCACCTTTGCGTCTGGGACGACAGCTCGGCGGTCTCCATCTCTGAGGCTGATGCCATGTTCTCTGCCAGGTCAAGCTAAGTGGTTCACGCCACGAAGACCCATGTCACCCAGTCTTCGTCCTTGCACTAGGTCTTCAGGCGACAATAGGCTCTGGGGTCCACCAGCGCTAGTGCTGGCCCGTGGCCCGCACCTCAGTGAGGTCTTTGAGAGAGGGTCTTATGCGCGCATTTTCTTTTATGCCGAAAGGCTGTCGAATGCCCATGTACGAAATGTTCATCTGGCGTTGCACCAATCCCAATCCTGACGTAGGTAAGGAAACTGCGAAGCATCGGCATCTCAGGCCGCCGCCCAGACCAAGCGCAGCTCGGATTCCACACCTCGGGACTTTGGCGCTCGGCTGAACTCCCCGGTATTCGGCGGAGAAAGGTGCTTGGCCAAGCGCTCGAAGCATCTGCCTGGCCCAAACCCGAACCAAGAAACCGGGGCCAAACACCTCACTGAAAACCAAACACAAACAAACGACACTGGTTTGTGGACCATGCATGTTCTGCTCCCAACGGGACGGGCCATTCATCCATGTTGGCGCATCAAGAATTGGTTGCCAAACAAAACGCCAGCCTCCAAGCCATCCAGACTCTCGCGATGCGAGAGAGCTGCATCGTGCTCACCCAAAGACCCGCAGGTCGCCACCTCGTGCCTCGCCATGCACGGCAGGTTGGCCTTCCAAAAAGAACCTTCAGAATGGGTGGTTTCTTTTTCGGAATCCCAGATAAGGGGACCCTCGCAAACGAATTGGCCCGTGGCAGGAGCCAACTGGACTCTGGCTTCCACGATTATCAATGAGATCTTGTGACTTTCAGGTTTGGAGCGACAAAGAATGCTTGCGATGACAGCAAGTTGTGATCCAAAATCATGTCATATTATTCAATCAAGCTGATTGCTCTGGGAGCGGGCAAATATACATGGCAATGTTGGTCGAACGCAGAGCCACTCCCCTTGGCGGTTTAACGTCTCGAGCAAACAAACCAAAGTCCGGCCAATCATGCACCATTTGCGTTTTGCCGTCCTCTCCCATCCACGTCAGGGATTCATGGATGTCTAATTTTCTTTGGACCCAAACCTTCAAGGACAGAGTTTGGACTTCTCGAAGGAAGTCAATGCAGCCCATCAGCATCCGCCCCACCACACGAGCCGGCTGCACGCACTCTCAATATGGCCAGCAGCACGCGAGAGCAGCTGCTTCTCGGACCGCAGATCGAATGGCACGACCACTTTGGCCATGACTGGCCTTAGGTCTACACACACACAAGGTGTTGGTCATGTCAGAGTTCCCTTGGGGCCATTCACCCCAACCGCTTGTCGTTTTGGGTGCCAAGCAAACATGAATCCCAATCTGAAACCGCTGAAAGAGCCAAATTAGGATTTGGACCCAAAAGGGGGACCGGCTTTCCTTTTGGCTTTCGACTCCAATCCGCCGAAGGGTACCCAAAAAAATGTGGTTTCTCTTTGAACCAACCCAAAAACGAAAAGGAATGGTACCCACACCAGTATCAGAAACCTCCACTAAACGAAACAAACCGGTTGCAAACTCCAAAAGGCTCCTGCCCGCAGCAAGGCCCGCATAGCCACCTGAGCTCACGTGCGACCGAAATGGCGGCCGATCGCCTAGTGACATGGCAGGCTTGTCCCTGCAATTCGGAGTTCGTGTTTCTGCTTGATCCTAGACTTCTAGGTACTGGTATCCACTCAAAAACGAAAGCTGCCTGCCTCAAGTAAACAAAGCGCGATAACATGTCCCATGACCTGAATCTGGTTGTCGTTTGGGACCCTTCCTGCCTAAAGTCCCACTCTGTAGCCCCGGCAACCAGGGGGTGCCGCGCAGGATCATCTTCGTCAGTCGCCATGGCAAGTTTTAAGCACAGTGGCCAAATGCTTGTGTCGTTTTTTGAGGGTACCATTGGTTGGGTGGTTTTAAGAGGCGAAATAAAGCTTTTAGACACACCCAAATGCTGCTGAAGGATGCTGAAGGCTATTGTCCCACCCCAAGCCGTTTGTGCAATTCGATGCCCAGGATGCGCCTCATGCGCCTCATGAAATGAAGCCCGAAATCTAACAAACGTCGCCAGCTGCTCAAGAAACCGCACCAACTGGCAACGCAAATTGCAGGCCTCGCTACAAAAAGCGTGAAAGCAATCCCTTAAGCTTGCGTCTGTGTGTGTCTGTGCCCAAGCTTGGTATATCTGCGCGTCATTGAACAATAGCACCAGAGTCGCAACTAAACGGATCGTGGCTCACATCCTTCGCATGAAGAAAGCATCCAGGCGCTTCCTTTCGGCTTGCCAGGCTGTGTCGTTTCCAACCTTGTGAAACGAAGCCAACGGCCGAAGGCCCATACCACACCCCTCACCGGTCAACATGTCCATTGACCGCTCAAGACAGAAAGCCGCAATGTGGAAATGTCTAACAATTGGGACTCCTCTTATGGCGCTTTCAATGGAAACCAGAAAAAAATCGACAGTCACAAGGCCATCTCAGGCAAACACACGTGTAAGGGTTCCGGCTGTTCGACGTTTTCACTCACTCATCAACAAGAACCCTCTTTCAGCTCCCACTTCCTTTCCGTACTGTTCTTTCCGACACATCGGCCATATCGATCAGTCTTCACCGAAGCAATTGCCACAGGTGTCCTGCGCGGGGCGGGGCGCAGGAGGTTTGTAGGGTCCTCCAAAGAGAAACATGAATGGACGGGTGCCAAGGATGGGCTGGTGGATGCCGGGAGGGCAGCAAGCCGGATCATAATACAATATTGATATGATACGTTATACTAACATATAGTTAAGGCCTTTGCGACCCAAAGGAAGAGGAGTCCTGCAAAGGCTGTTCTTCTCTTTTTCTGTTGGGTGCCAGCTTAACTGTCCATAACTTGTCAGGTCCAAGCAAACTTGGTATCTCAAAACGGTGAGGTTACTTTTTGTTGGTGTTTAAGGGGAAGACAAAGGGGAGCCCCCATAGCTGGGGGCGCACCCCACCAAGCCAGCAGCCCCGTCCGAGCAGAAGTTGTTCGGAATCGGCGGGGGCGCTTCATCCACCCGAATGAGGTCGCGCGGATCCACGAGGGCCCACTGGGCAGCGGCTGCTCATTGAGGTGACAAGCGCCACGAACGTTGGAGGGTGTTACGCAACCAAGCAAAGAAACAGGACCCCCAATGTGCTGTGGACAGAACGCCTGTCATGATGATGCCTCCCTTGGTAGAAACCGTTGTCAGGGTCCAAAGGAGTCCATGGGTATCCCTTCGTGCTTTCCCCATGGCTTTCCGACAAAACCGTGGCCAGCTCAGGTCGGCACAGGATCAAAGAGGCGAGGACCCCGGGAAGCACAGAGCGTCGGCTCCTTTCAGGTGCTGAAACCTCGATCTTGGCAACAGAGTGCTGCGCCATGTGCTGTTTTGCTCAGACCGGGTGGTGTCACAAATTTCAGAGTTCCTTCTCTTGCAGCCTGCGATCAAAAGTCGAGGCTCAGCATGAGAGGGAGCCCACGTTCTGCCCAGTCCTCCGCAATGTTTGAGAGGTTCTTCCTGAACTCTTTGGTGGTCCTGGCAGCAATCATGTGCGGAAACAGGCCTCGAAATCTTCCGCCTCTTCGTGGCAATGAGGAATACGTGGTACACCTCAGCATCCCAAGGTCACATCTCCTCTCGCAAGACGTGGCATTTAGGCAGCCGCCCAAAGGACGCTAGACAGCAGCGTGGCGATGCCGATCAGAGCACCCAACCTTTCACAATGCGAGGATGCCAAAGGAAATAGCCGCACACCTGCAAATAAACCGCCAGGTGGCCCATGTGTTCCTGTGATTCGGGCACGAGCCTGTGCCCAGGCAATGGGTAAGTTGGGGTAAACAAGCCACAAAAGAAAGGTTCCCCAAAAGCAAACCAATCCCCGGTCCCAAAGATCAGGGTTTCCCACACACAAGAGAACAACAACCAAAAGGGAAAAACCTAAACAAGTAAACAAGTACCCGCAACCTTGATCGACGATGAACCGCACGGGCGGACCCCACCAATCTGCCCCGGGCCGATGTCTCTTTCTCCACCGACACGAAGGTGATCGACGCGGGGACCCGGCGACGCTCATCCGAGGCGCGACGGACCCGCAAACTTGAGCCAAACACCACCGGTCAGTCACTATCGCGACATCCCTGGTGATGGTTTAAGACATGGCTAATCACTAATCACACCCCCCTCACGAGGAGCCCGTCATGTGACGGGTGGAGCGTGCCATTTACTGATAGGATTTAACTGCTCGCATGTATCCGCAAACAGCTGGACACTACCGCCGTCAGCGGTGGAGCAAACCCACAAAGGCAGTTGCGCGACGTCCCGGGCATTAAAATCCCGCCACCACCCCGAATTAATCGGGGTAACGCTGTCCAACATACCTCGTGGAAAAGTCCACATGACGGCACTAGGCCACAACTGTTTGCATCAACAATGCAAGAAGTTTAATTCTTATCAGAAGCCATGAAATAAAAGATAACGTATGTCCATTAGTACCCTCGCCTATCGGCAAGAGGTACTCCTGACCATGCGTACCTGAAAAATGCTTGAATTCCGCAAACCCGGGAGTAACCCCCCATCAGTTTGCTTTCCCTCTCACTCACACTGCTTCCCGATGAACACGACCAGCAGCCCAGCAGCGGTATGGGAGAGACATGATCTCCGCGCCTCAGCGGTTCGGGAGGAACATTACCACCTCCGCACCGCGCCGACCATTGGAGAATGGACGCAAGCCTATCGGCCGCAATCCTCGTGACTCAGCCTATCGGCTATCGTCACGTCTCCTCCGGTCACGTCCGCCCCGCGCACGGTCCCTATCACGATCCCTTTCGGATCTCCTGCAATCATCTCGCCTTCGTTCTCGCTCCCGATCGAGTGAATCACCATCACGACGATCACGAGCATCGTCCCTCCTCCGGTCGCCATCATCCTCGCGCCGCGGACGGTATCTGCGCCTTCTCGACTCTCTGGAATCCCTGGTGTCCACGGTCCTAACGGACCTCCGAGAAGGAGTGCGGGAAACGTCCGATTCCCTACGCCTCCTCCCAGAGCGAGAGTTCGTCACGATCTGGTTGAGGGCCTCCAGTGCTGACGCGTCCTCACCATTTCTGATGAAATCCCTGACTTGCTTGTTCAGCACTCTGTTGGTGGAGACTGACAAGAGAGCGTCCACCACCGAACTCTCAGGCAGCACCAGGAAGTGACCCTCCACCGGGCTCGCCGCAGTCCGCTCAGCCGACTGCAACCTGATCTCACCGCCTTCAGGCTTCTTTGCCATTGCCTTGGAGGCCGTCAGAGGCGCTACCGCGTCCTTTGCCGAAGACCTACCAAGCGCAGAGTGAAGATCATCTCCACTAGCCTCTCTTGCTGCCGCACCTGGTCTGCTGTCAACGTCATCAGGCCTCGTCGATGCCTCTCGCTTCGTCGACTCCTTCACAGTCTCGTCAGGATCCCAACGAGACTTCCTTTCTCTCTTCTGCCCTTCAGCCGACCCCCGACTACCGCCAGGAGCGTCGTCTCCGCCTACCTTCTCCTTCTTGACCTCAACCTTCGGTTCGGCCTGCTTCGTCTCCTTAGCCTCAGCCTTCGGAGCCGGAGCACTCTTCGCCTCAGAAACCGAAGCTGCCTTTCCCTTCGGCTCGGCCTTTGGAACCGGAGTCATTTTAGCCTTCGCGCTCGGCCGGGCTCCTTCAACCGCTATCGCGACCCAAGTCTTCTTCGGCTGAGCTGCAGTTGCATCAACCTCCATCGGAGCCGGCCCAGCATCACCCTTTGCTTTAGCCTGTGGGACAGATGGACTATCGCCCTTACCGGATCCTTTTCCTGGCACTTCGCCTGACTTTGGCGGTGGGCCGGAAGGACTACCGCCCTTACCGCCCTTTTCCCCCTTCTTCCCTTTTCCTCTTCCGCCCTTGACGATCGGCTCCTGCTTAGGACCAGGACCCTGCGCAGCATGATGCACTGATTGAAGCCCTTCAATGTTCACGTCCAATGGCTCCGGTTGACGACCATCAAGAACCGTCCTCACCCTTTCGTCACTAACGTAGACGAATGGGTCGCGGAAGGGGGCGGGAGGCTCCGACTGCCCGGTACTGATTGCCTTCTGCACCTTGGCTATCGCCTCCTTCAATCTCTTCTTCTCATCGTACCCTGTCTCTGACACCATGTGTTTCCTGAGATCCGATATCAACGCATGACTGGCCAGGATGTCCACGTCCTTCCGATGAGTCGGACACAACGGAGTCAGATGCCCCGCCGCGGAGCCAATCACGTACGCCATCGAGATATAGAAGGACAAGTACGTGTCATGGCGAGCAAACTTCCTAACGGAAGTCGTCATACGCCTACCCCACTGAGCAGCATGCACCGGGTTAGCTCGGAAGTACTCAGTGACCGAATCAAATCTATCGACTTGGTTCTTAATCAGGTGCTTCGCCACCCACTTCTCCACGAACGCATCCGAGGCCGAAATCCCCGACACATAAAAGAATTGGAAGAGCCTTTGCCAGCTCTCCCACGCCGTATCGACTCCTCCCTTGTCCTCACCAAGATAAGGGGGCAGTCTGATGCCGCTCTGCACCGTCATGAACTGCCTCATGCTCCTCACCCACTCCGGGACGATGTGGCATCTCTCGAAGTTTCGTCCGCGTTGGGGATGAAGTTCGGGTAGAAGACCGGGAGCGCACACCCAGGGCACAAGTGCATCCCATTTGGCGTCATCTCCGCGCACCTCAAACAAAACGTGGTGGTCACATTCAACCTGACCTCTTCACGCGATCGCTTGTGCTCTCCCCTATCGGGGTTAAGGTCACCATAGTCCCATGCCCGATGATACACTATCGTGTAGTCATCGTACATGTATGCCGCCTTCCAAGCGCCCATGTGGATCTCGTTCCGAACGGCAAGGGTCTTTCTCCTCGTCAGAAACACGGGTCCAACCAACGACCAGTGCACCCGAAGGTCCACGATTACCACCACGTACCTTCCCGAGTAGTTCCGCAGCCTGTCCCTGACGCACCATGATGGCGATACCTCGGCGTTCGGCGCCATGGTTTCCACAAGTGGGACCAGGCCCTCATCCTGCCTTCCATCCCCAATGGTATCGTACACATCGGGCCTCGTGATCAATATCTCGATCATGGCCTTTCCGTTTCGCCTCACCTTTTGGAGCTGAACCGCCTTCCTAAAGTCCGAGAACTTCATGACGACGTATCCCACCATAGGGAGTTCATTCCAGTGCATCTCGTACATCAGAGATCCTCCAGGTGCATCTTCTTGGGTGTACCTTTGCCTAACGGCACTGTAACTCATGACCAGACCTTCAAAGTCGCATGAGAGCAGTCTCATCAACTCCTTTGCCGCCTCCCGCCCTGCAACGGTGCTCGCGGTCTCCTCGTAGTTCGGGACGTATTCGCCCAACCTTGTCTTCGAGGGAATCACAATCTGGCATGTGGCGGCCTCATCAGGGATAACCCCAGTATCCCTTAGTTCTGGGTTGATTTCCCGCCTATCGGCAAGATAATCCCTCTTTCCGTCCAGGACCACAAGATTGTAGGTCATCTTGCTTGCCGCCTCACTCGTTCGGAACCTTCTGCTTTCATCAACCTGATCAGGAGCAAAGGGTCCACTGGGAGCAGCTGCACTTACCATCGGCGCTCCTTGCCCAGAGCATAGGTGCTTCTTGTGACAGTTCACCATCTCATTCAGCTGCGACAGGGCATAAGCTCGATCCTCCAATGACGCACTCTTCATCCCAGCCTCAGTAAGAGGAGCCTCAGGCTTCGCCTTTCCGCCCCATCTCGCCGCGACCAGCTCGGCAGACTTTGCAGGATCAATCAGATTGCCCGACCATTCGGGCATATTGCTCAACATCCTAGTCAACGCGTCTATCGACGCAGCCAAGTCTTCATCCGTCACGGTGTGAGGGTCGACCTTCTCCCTGTCCTCCTGACCCACGTCAGGAAGCCTAAAGTCCCCGCGGATGGCCTCCATCGCGGCCTTCTCAGCTTCCTCAGCCTCCGCTTGCGTGGGATCAAGAGCGCTGCCTCAGCAGGCAACGACTTCTCCATGTCAATCGGAGTGTTGGGAAGGATCCTTCTGTCATCTCCCATACGATCTTCGTCTTCGGCTTCAGAGGAATGGCGACACCCCCAGCCATGTGGTGTCCAGGCCAAGTAGCTCCATCAGGCTCATCTTCAAACCATGACTTCCCGAACGGGGTTGCCATCCCTACTGAGGATCTCCTTCCTATCGGAAGTAGACCCTGAATGAGACAGTGCCGACACATGGGACAGCATGATCTCAGCCGCTGATTGCGCCAACGTGTCGGGCATCTGCTCCCTCGTCGGGATAGTCCGCAACTCCGGAGCAAGGTGACCGGCTATCATGCTGAAGGGCGCAGTACCCAACCGCTTGCCTAGTACCGCTTCATTCAACGCGTTGAAGTACTTCTGCAACTTCTCCAGCATTGCCGTCGCCGCCATCAGCTGAGGGTGGAACATAGGCATACGCCACGCGCGCCCAAGGGCGCAGTCCACGTGCGATGCGATCGTTGTGATCGTCCCTACCAGCAGATGTGACGATGCAATCTCCGGCACCCAGGTCGGATCATCCAAAGGAATGCATTGACCAGTCTGCGCGTTCAGCAAGGTTGCCCTTACTCCTGGCGCTCGGAGACAATCATATGCCCTGCGGTTCGGGTCACTAACGACACCACGCA